AATACCAAAAACCGACCTAAATTAATAAATCTAATACTTAAAAGCTCCAACGACCTAACTAACGCAGGCAAACAAATAACCTTCTTGTGGATACCCGCCCACGTAGGAATATACGGTAATGAAAACGCCGATAAGGCAGCTAAACAATCCCTCAAAATCCCAGAAAGAAGCTTAAACCTACCCATCTCAAAATCAGAAATTAAAAGTGTAAACAAGCAAAAAATCACCAAAAAATGGCATAACCTACATCTAAACTCAAATAGCCAAATCAAAAAAGTACTCAGCAAACCACTAACCAAACCAAAAATTCACCATCCATCAAAAGAAATCGACAGAGTAATCACTAAACTCCAAACAGGACACACCAACCTAAATAACCACCTAAAAAAAATATAAAAAAAATACTACAGGTAACTGCCCACACTGCAAACAACTAGAAACCCCAGAACACGCACTCATCTACTGCACACACTACCTAACACATCGAACCGCATTACAAACCACCCTCAATCTAAACAAGGCTCTCACTCTAGAAGCAATACTAAACCCACAAAATAAACTAGAAAACTTCAAGGCCTTAGGCGTATTCTTAATCAAAACGGAACTAATAAAACGCATCTAAAAACACTATAATCCACCAAATCAAAATTACATAAACACACAAACATCCACCATACCCAGCTCCCTTAGTTCTCCTCCCCTACCCCATCGGCATCTATTCCAAATCTCAAAATTCCCAAATTCTATATAAGCAACCCCTAAAGCCCCCTCTTGGGTTGCACACACCACTTTCGCCCCTTTCGGAAACACATTAAATGGCCTGTCCGGGCCCGTGTGCGAAATACGCATCAGTCGGAAAGCGCACGTTAAATCTCCAAAGTAAGTAAGTAAGTAAGTAAGTTGACCGTGTGCTATCCACACAATCTTACCGACTCCCTAACAACCAATCTATATTCACGGCCGAACTAATGGGCATGGCCTCAGCCCTGCATAACCAACAATCAAAAAACAACAAAAAAATCCTAATTCTCACTGACTCGCTTAGTGGGCTACAAAGCCCTCCAAAACAAAAATACCAAAAAACGACCTAAATTAATAAACCAAATACTTAAAAGCTCCAACGACCTAACAAAAGCAGGCTAACAATCTAGAAATAAACCAACCCTACAAAATGGAGGAGCTCCTCTACGTAATCCAAAACAGGAAAAAGGGCACAGCCCCAGGATAAGACCTAACTTCTTAACAAATAATTAAAAAAAAAACACCTAAAACTATATCCTACTCCCTGGAAACAGGCCCTAGTCATACCAATCACTAAACCTAATAAACCAGCTAATCAAGCTAACTCATATCGACCAATATCTCAACTTCAAACTTATGCAAAGTAATGGAATCAATGGCTAAAAATAGATTACAACATTACCTAACCCAAAATAACATCAACTATTGAACTGCATGGCAAGTATTTATAAAACGACCGGGGGCGGAAATATTCTGGGGGGAGATTTTATTTCGTAGGGTGGGGGAGAGTTTATTTCGAGAGGGGCGGAACTGTACCGGTATAAATTCGCCGGGGGGAGACTTTATTCTGGGGGCGAATATATTTCGTGACACCGGCCGCACACAGCAATATTCCAGCTGTATGGCGGCGGCCTGCAAATCGAGTCTGGACCAGACAATCCAGTGATCGACGCACCTGGAGTACGATGGCACATTACTAACCAAGTCACCAAGCCTGATCCTCTGATCCATTTAGTCGTCTTTTACGACCAGCATAGGTAGCTGGGGACCTCTATTCTTACCCAGAATCACCATGGTAAATATGTTCATGAAGTCTGCACGGTGTGTCACCCCTATCAATGAAACTAATCGTGTATTTAAACGAGCGTGTTCTGCTCAATCACCATCACATTGATACGGGAGTGATTTCACGCCTGAACGCAGTAGTTGATTGAAGATGTTTTGAAATTGAGCTATCTTTGTTCTAATTGTTACTAACTGTTGCTTCCGTTACAGTTATTCCCTTCTTTGTGCATATAGGTGGCTATCGCACTCATGTTAACACAGCATTATTCGTGTCCGTTATGTGTGAAGTGAACAATTTAGCAGCTGGTATTTGTGAATAGTTTCAGCGACCTCAAGTAACGACTGTTTTCATAGCAGTCATGCATTTCCTACCTTTAACGTGTTTTATATGCTGGTACTCATGGCAATTATTTCCTTGGTATTGCTTTAGGGATAACTGAAATACAATTTGTCCAGGATATGCTCGGGGTTTACATCATGAAACAACAACTCTGAAAGGAGTGAGCGAGTTGTGTTTAAAGCCACTTTTAACGTTATTCCAGTTATATCACGGCGTGCCAGCTTAATGTGGGAGGAAAGCCCGAAGTGATGCAGGTCTCCATCTTCCCGAGGCAAGTGAGTTAACTGACTATAAACTGGACTTTTAAAGTTAGTTAACTCCCTTGCCTCGGAAAGATGGCAGGTCTCAGACGTTCACCACTTCGGTGAAACCCACGAGCAGTTTATGGCGCTGACAAACCTAGAAACATAATCCGGGCGACTGTGAAAAGAACAGGCAGACCCAAACACAACAACGGATACACCCACACTCACTACCAATGGTGGAGTTGGAACACAGTTGAGCAATCTATACACCTGGGTGCCCTTGTACAAAGCGATCTTAGCGCCAAGGTGATGCAACTCCTATACCTTAACATAGAATTACGACAGGCCCAACGCTAAGGTTGTTTTGTACAAGGGCACACTTGTCTGGTCTCTGATAAAGTAGGGCAACCAATACACCTTGTCAGGCTTGTGTTAAAATAGGGCAACCAATACACCTGGTCAGGCTTGTGTTAAAGTAGGGCAACCAATACACCTGGTCAGGCTTGTGTTAAAGTAGGACAACCAATACACCTGGTCAGGCTTGTGTTAAAGTAGGTCAACCAATACACCTTGTCAGGCTTGTGTTAAAGTAGGGCAACCAATACACCTTGTCAGGCTTGTGTTAAAGTAGGGCAACCAATACACCTTGTCAGGCTTGTGTTAAGTAGGACAACCAATACACCTGGTCAGGCTTGTGTTAAAGTAGGGCAACCAATACACATGGTCAGGCTTGTGTTAAAGTAGGGCAACCAATACACATGGTCAGGCTTGTGTTAAAGTAGGGCAACCAATATACCTGGTCAGGCATGTCTTAAAGTAGGGCAATCAATACACCTGGTCAGGCTTGTGTTAAAGTAGGGCAACCAATACACCTGGTCATGCTTGTGTTAAATTAGGGCAACCAATACACCTGGTCAGGCTTGTGTTATAGTAGGGCAACCAATACACCTGGTCAGGCTTGTGTTAAAGTAGGGCAACCAATATACCTAGTCAGACATGTGTTAAAGCAGGGCAACCAATACACCTGGTCAGACATGTCTCTAAGTAGGGCAACCAATACAACTGGTCAGACATGTGTTAAAGTAGGGCAACCAATACACCTGGTCAGGCTTAAATTAAAGTAGGACAACCAATACACCTGGTCAGGCTTGTGTTTAAGTAGGGCAACCAATACACCTGGTCAGGCTTGAGTTAAAGTAGGGCAACCAATACACCTGGTCAGACTTGTGTTAAAGTAGAGCAACCAATACACCTGGTCAGGCTTGTGTTAAAGTAGGGCAACTAATACACCTGGTCAGGCTTGTGTTAAAGTAGGGCAACCAATACACCTGGTCAGACATGTCTTAAAGTAGGGCAATCAATACACCTGGTCAGACATGTGTTAAAGTAGGGCAACCAATACACCTGGTCAGGCTTAAATTAAAGCAGGTCAACCAATACACCTTGTCAGGCTTGTGTTATAGTAGGGCAACCAATACACCTGGTCAGGCTTGTGTTATAGTAGGGCAACCAATACACCTGGTCAGGCTTGTGTTAAAGTAGAGCAACCAATACACCTGGTCAGGCTTGTGTTAAAGTAGGACAACCAATATACCTGGTCAGACATGTCTCTAAGTAGGGCAACCAATACACCTGGTCAGTCTTGTGTTAAAGTAGGACAACCAATACACCTTGTCTGGCTTGTGTTAAAGTAGGGAAACCAATACATCTTGTCAGGCTTGTGTTAAAGTAGAGCAACCAATACACCTGGTCAGGCTTGTGTTATAGTAGGACAACCAATACATCTTGTCAGGCTTGTGTTAAAGTAGAGCAACCAATACATCTTGTCAGGCTTGTGTTAAAGTAGGACAACCAATACACCTTGTCTGGCTTGTGTTAAAGTAGGTCAACCAATACACCTGGTCAGGCTTAAATTAAAGAAGGGCAACCAATACACCTGGTCAGGCTTGTGTTAGAGTAGGGCAACCAATACACCTGGTCAGGCTTGTGTTAAAGTAGGGCAACCAATATACCTGGTCACACATGTCTCTAAGTAGGGCAATCAATACACCTGGTCAGACATGTGTTAAAGTAGGGCAACCAATACACCTGGTCAGGCTTAAATTAAAGTAGGACAACCAATACACCTGGTCAGGCTTAAATTAAAGTAGGACAACCAATACACCTTGTCAGGCTTGTGTTAGAGTAGGGCAACCAATACACCTGGTCATGCTTGTGGTATAGTAGGGCAACCAATATACCTGGTCAGACATGTCTCTAAGTAGGGCAATCAATACACCTGGTCAGGCTTGTGTTAAAGTAGGGAAACCAATACACCTGGTCAGGCTTGTGTTAAAGTAGGGAAACCAATACACCTGGTCAGGCTTGTGTTAAAGTAGGGCAACCAATACACCTGGTCAGGCTTGTGTTAAAGTAGGGCAACCAATACACCTGGTCAGGCTTGTGTTAAAGTAGGGCAACCAATACACCTGGTCAGGCTTGTGTTAAAGTAGGGCAGCCAATACACCTGGTCAGGCTTGTGTTAAAGTAGGACAACCAATACACCTGGTCAGGCTTGTGTTAAAGTAGGGCAACCAATACACCAGGTAACATAATAATAACACTCACTCAAAGCAGACTGATTTATTACTTTCAAAAATAAATAAAAAAAAATAACAAAAGAAGAAAAGATCTTTGGGCAAATCACCACCTGATCAAATAATAGCAAAATCTTGTTTCAATAAAAAAAGCAGATGCTTTACTAACCATGGCGGTATTCAAACTAAAGACAGGCAGAAACTATCAGACCAAGTAGTCACACTTGCCTATAATACTGTTGTTGTCCACTCCCCTCATCTCACACAGCACAACACTGAATAAATAATGCCTTATAATGGCCCATGACAAAATCACCAGTATATGTGAACTAAAGAATGTAAAACGGCTTACTGCCTCTACTTTTTAGTTTTCGTGAGCATCCAGTACTTCAACAGCTACTCTTGTTCCAAACACTAACAGAAGCTCATGCTGAGAAGTGTTCGGAATCTCAAACAAAACATATCATTAACTTTTCAACAATCCTAACAAACTGTTTGCAAACTCAAGTCTAAATACTTGATCAAATGTTGATTGAATTGGCATTAAAAACAATATGACACACAATAACCTGAGCAATAACAATACTGAACATCATTGGATTGCTTTGTTGATCATTTATACAAATATGCACCATTAGGACAATGATTGTCTGTAATTAAAATATTAAGTAAAATTTCCTAAGTAGATCACAGCACCATATTTTCAGCACTAAAACTGGCTTGGAATCACATTGAATACAACAATCACTGCCATTGGTCAGTCGTAACTGGAGGAAATACAATACCTGACTTAGAACATGCAGGTGTCGTACCAGTAACATATACTCACCTCCAAAAGAAACGCAAATTATAGATACACATAGAGACGTTTGTACGTTAAGAAGACGTGTATACAGTGTGTACCACTTAATGACAAAACTAACAATCGGTCAAGTGTTACCACATTGTCTTTATTCTTATCACGATATGCTGCATGTGATTTCCAAACTTTACACGCTAATTCTGCACAAGAGAAAAGTGCATTAAACTATGACATCACATGTGATGCGTTCATGAGCGTCAGTTCAGACAACATACCAGTATGTTCGTTTGTGCATTGAACCAACATAATATCTTTTGAATATGAGTAATATTCCTATATTCACCAAAATGTATGGTATTTGCGTATCTTTTGTTGGTGAGTATATTTAATGAATCACAAGACACATGAACAAGCAATAACCATGGCGAAGCAGCTGTGCAGGATGTTACCAGGCTCGTCCACGGCTGACTAGACACAAGTAATTAGTATGTTTAATTCCACGTAAATTGGGGAAGTAGATAGATTAACCAGGTTCAATAATTGGTTGTGCAACTTTAATGAGATGTTATTAGTTCCACAGCTGACATCCTGATCTGGATACAGTAACATCAGTTGTCACATATTGCTGGTATGTCCTGTCATCGGTCGGTGTAACCTGTATGTGCCAGGCAATATGGCAAGGGATATTGTCCTGTCCTTTAACACAAATTTGGTATCAGCTGATTGGTCATCAATAGGAAGCTGGTTTCTGATCATCATTAGTTCTTTAAAAGGCAATAATCTTTTACAGCATCAGCATCAGCATCCTAGGAGTTCTTCTGGGGGACTTTGATGACCACCTGTTGAACAACAACCCATGCACATCAGCAGCTTGTACAGGGAATAATGCTCAGTACAATTTAGAATGCACATGTATATATCATACACTTGCTAATCAAGGATGATTTCAGCAATATTCCTGCCACTCTACGACAGGAACACGAGAATGGGCTTCATACATCATACCCATGTGGAAAGTGGAACCCAGACTCCTACATGACAAACGAACGCCAGAAACCTTCCTCACTGCCCCCATAGGGTGAGTGAGTGAGTGTGGTATTATGCCGCTTTTAGCAATATTCCAGCAATATCACAGCAGGGGACACCAGAAATGGGCTCAACACATTGTACCCATGTATGGAATTGAAACCAGGTCTTCGTCATGACGAGCGAGCGCTTTAACCACACAGTACAATAGTCCATGACAAAGGTTGTACCCAACAAGGTGCTGTACTGTATCTGTAACCATCTAAGCATTGTGGATTTTCCATGAAGGATGCAGAAATACCCTCACTGTTAAAAGACTACTCACATTTTTCACTTCAATGTACTGTTGAAGGCCATATTCACCCCTGAAATAAAAAAGATGAATACAAATACACATTATTCAAAGGTAGAGCTATAAGGCCCTGTAGCTCACCTGACAATTGTTAAGTACAATCAGGATCTTGTCAGTAGTTTGGAGATGAAACTCTCCACACAAAATCGTGGCCACGACAGACCCACTGGAAATCTATTTCAACCCTTTAAATGCTGGTGTCCTCATGGGTAAATAAGTTTACAAAGTGCAAGGAAATGAATTGTGCCTAACTAATGGACACGGAGACACTGACCAATAAAACATATATAGCCAAAGTCCGACAAGGAATAAAAGCAATACTCACATCTCTCGCCCAAGGCCGGACATCTTGAATCCACCAAATGGGGCTTGAGCATTGACAGCTAGGTAGCAGTTGACCCTGCAAAGGGGAGACAATCCAGTAATTCCTTATTTCATTCATCGATGCTTATGTTCCTAATGTATTCGGGGTGCAATGAATACACTGAGGCGAATATAGGGTACGAATATTAATTCACGAAAATATTAACAAGTCAACAGTTGACGTATTATTTGTTCTATTCAGTGGAACAATAACAACATAAATTATTTGACATGTTTTGTTAATTATTAGTGAGTGAGTGAGTTGGGTTTAACGCCGCTTTTAACAGTATTCCAGTTATATCACGGCGTGTCAGCTTAATGTGGGAGGAAAGCCCGAAGTGATGCAGGTCTCAGACGTTTACCACTTAGGTGAAACCCACGCGCACGGGTATGGTGCTGACAAACCTAGAAACATAATTGGGGTGAACCGGGATTCGAACCCACAACCATAGGTTTCTGGCGTGCCCAAGGGACGCAACTCTGCACAGCGAATTGCGGCGCCTTAGACGACTGGGCCACCAGTGCCCCCTTGTTAATTATTAAAATATTATACATTCTATATACTGCACTAATCTAGGTACTAGAATCTGCTCAAATGCGACAATGACCAGTGACCAAAATACTGTCACAATAAATATTGTTTTAGAGTGTTGTCTTTTGAAGACATCTATGTATATAAAATGTTCTTATGGATATTTTTAGGTACAGGGTATGTAAATGCACATAAATATTCAATTCTAGAGGCCACAAATAACAAATTCGATCATGAATGGATACGGTTCAATTCACCGAAAACGCGAGTGAATCGTAACAGCCCTATAATGTATCCAGATTGGGAAAATGTCCACAAGAAGTTTCAATTTTCAGTATGGTCAAAACTTATAGGTCAAATTGACTTCAAGATTTACAATTTTACAAAAAACAGAACTTACGTGTAGAGCCCCACAACTATATCACTGAGATGGGTATTACCCGGTGCATGCTGATGCCATGTAAAATAAAACTGCATTTAGCACCAAATATTCCCATTGGTGGGAACTTTCAGCTCTACTGGTCCAGCAGTTCTTTTCATTTACAATATGGCTGCTGGCAAGCATACTTGAATTGCAGTCAAGACGCCTTGACCATCTCACCACCAAGTTGCAGGCCTCAGGCCCCTTAAGCTATACAGAAGATGAACTTATCTTATTATAAGATTAACAAATCAAAGATGGCTACCTTGTAATTCCAATTTTGATGCCTTGAAAATACTTGAACCCCTTTAAAGTAACAAACATCCACACAAAGTTTCAGCTGAATCCAACAAGCCATTTCGGAAGAGAAGAAAGAGAAAAGTCGTGATGGAAAACACAAGCCCAGGACCGTTGAGTTAATAAGCAAGCCTTACAGGACTTAATGGTACACTGCATGTCACAATTATTACATAGAAGATATGACGTCATGGTCGGATACAGTAAAGCACCAAACACACTCTCGGTTTCTATTGTGTCATTGCAAAATGTTTTACCACACACACTTGGGAATATTGTACCTTCTGCAATATTGCCTTCTGACAATGGCTGAGAAAATGTATTTTTCTATATATGTCCGCATCCGCAATGACGCGGCTTTCAAATTAGCTGTGTCAGTCACAGGTGATTATTGTGATTTGAAACCTCTGATTGACCAATCAGATTTGAGTATAATACAAATTGATGTTGGAATACTACAATCATCCTGTTCCAAGTGTACCAACCAATTTTCAGTCAGTTGTTATGCACTGAGTACAAACTCTATTCACCTACGAAATCACCGAATCGTGTAGAAACTCTATTCACCAACAAAATCAGCCTATCGTGTAGAAATTCTATTCACCAACAAAATCAGCTTATCGTGTAGAAACTCTATTCACCAACAAAATCACCCTATCGTGTAGAAACTCTATTCACCAACAAAATCAGCTTATCGTGTAGAAACTCTATTCACCAACAAAATCACCCTATCGTGTAGAAACTCTATTCACCAACAAAATCAGCTTATCGTGTAGAAACTCTATTCACCAACAAAATCAGCTTATCGTGTAGAAACACTATTCACCAACGAAATCACATCACGTGTAGATACTTACTGTATTCAATGTTTCTGGTAATCATGTTAAACAATGCATTAATATTGCTGGGAGACGATGGGGCCAACTCACCACACTGTTCCAGCCTTGATTCCACCGGCGAAGGCCAATGCCTTGTTTATGTCATTGGTGAAAATGGCTGCTCCCAGACCATATGCCGTGTTATTGGCTCGCTCCAGCACCTCATCCAAGGTCTTGAACTTGATTATTTGCTGAACAGGTCCAAATATCTGCAAATCATTTATAAATAAAAGAAGGTTATGTCAAAGCATAAAGACTTTAAGGCCTTAAGGACATGCATAAAAAATGTTTGCTTTTCAAAGTCAATTGCAAAACAAACTCCTCATACTACTTATGTTGACGGTGAAAGTCGTGGTGTCCATGAGGATGGCGACAGAATGTGGCCAAGTACTTTTGTTGTCATGGAGCTGATATTGTGTCAAGCTGATGCAAGTTAGATAACGTTAATGTCATCTGAGTTCCACAACAGGTGGACAGAGATTCGCACGCACGCACGCACGCACGCATGCACGTTTTGTCTGACTGACCTCTTCCCTGGCTATCCTCATGCTGTCTGTGACATTGGAGAAGACCGTGGGCTCGATGAAGAACCCCTTCTCTCCATGCCTGGTCCCGCCAATCTCACACGTAGCTCCCTCGTCCTTCCCGCTCTTGATCAGCTCCAGGATTTTCGTCAGCTGGTCACCATCAATCTGAACACATCACCAACATCACATTGAACACATCACCTACATCACCCTGAACACAGCACCTACATCACTCTGAACACATCACCTACATCACTCTGAACACATCACCTACATCACTCTGAACACATAACCTACATCACCCTGAACACATCACCTACATCACTCTGAACACATCACCTACATCACTCTGAACACATCACCTACATCACTCTGAACACATCACCTACATCACTCTGAACACAGCACCTACATCACTCTGAACACAGCACCTACATCACATTGAACACAGCACCTACATCACATTGATCACAGCACCTATACCACTCTGAACACATCACCTACACCACTCTGAACACATCACCTACATCACCCTGAACACATCACCTACATCACTCTGAACACATCACCTACATCACTCTGAACACAGCACCTACATCACTCTGAACACAGCACCTACATCACATTGAACACAGCACCTACATCACATTGATCACAGCACCTATACCACTCTGAACACAGCACCTACATCACATTGAACACATAACCTACATCACTCTGAACACATCACCTACATCACTCTGAACACATCACCTACATCACTCTGAACACAGCACCTACATCACATTGAACACAGCACCTACATCACTCTGAACACAGCACCTACATCACTCTGAACACATCACCTACATCACATTGAACACAGCACCTACATCACATTGAACACAGCACCTACATCACTCTGAACACATCACCTACATCACTCTGAACACAGCACCTACATCACATTGAACACAGCACCTACATCACATTGATCACAGCACCTATACCACTCTGAACACAGCACCTACATCACATTGAACACATAACCTACATCACTCTGAACACATCACCTACATCACTCTGAACACATCACCTACATCACTCTGAACACATCACCTACACCACTCTGAACACATCACCTACATCACTCTGAACACATCACCTACACCACTCTGAACACATCACCTACATCACTCTGAACCTATCACCTACACCACTCTGAACACATAACCTACATCACTCTGAACACAGCACCTATACCACTCTGAACACATAACCTACATCACTCTGAACACAGCACCTATACCACTCTGAACACATCACCTACATCACATTGAACACATAACCTACATCACCCTGAACCTATCACCTACATCACATTGAACACATCACCTACATCACTCTGAACACATAACCTACATCACCCTGAACCTATCACCTACATCACATTGAACACATCACCTACATCACATTGAACACATAACCTACATCACCCTGAACCTATCACCTACATCACATTGAACACATCACCTACATCACATTGAACACATCACCTACATCACCCTGAACCTATCACCTACATCACTCTGAACACATCACCTACATCACTCTGAACACATCACCTACACCACTCTGAACACATCACCTACATCACTCTGAACACATCACCTACACCACTCTGAACACATCACCTACATCACTCTGAACCTATCACCTACACCACTCTGAACACATAACCTACATCACTCTGAACACAGCACCTATACCACTCTGAACACATAACCTACATCACTCTGAACACAGCACCTATACCACTCTGAACACATCACCTACATCACATTGAACACATAACCTACATCACCCTGAACCTATCACCTACATCACATTGAACACATCATCTACATCACTCTGAACACATCACCTACACCACTCTGAACCTATCACCTACATCACATTGAACACATCACCTACATCACTCTGAACACATCACCTACACCACTCTGAACACATCACCTACATCACATTGAACACATAACCTACATCACTCTGAACCTATCACCTACATCACCCTGAACACATCACCTACATCACTAGGAACACATAACCTACATCACCCTGAACCTATCACCTACATCACATTGAACACATCACCTACATCACTCTGAACACAGCACCTACATCACTCTGAACACATCACCTACACCACTCTGAACACATCACCTACACCACTCTGAACACATCACCTACACCACTCTGAACACATCACCTACACCACTCTGAACACATCACCTACATCACTCTGAACACATCACCTACACCACTCTGAACACATCACCTACATCACTCTGAACACATCACCTACATCACTCTGAACACAGCACCTATACCACTCTGAACACATCACCTACATCACATTGAACACATAACCTACATCACCCTGAACCTATCACCTACATCACATTGAACACATCACCTACATCACTCTGAACACATCACCTACACCACTCTGAACACAGCACCTACATCACTCCGAACACATCACCTACATCACATTGAACACATCACCTACATCACTCTGAACACATCACCTACACCACTCTGAACACATCACCTACATCACCCTGAACACATCACCTACATCACCCTGAACCTATCATCTACATCACTCTGAACACATCACCTACATCACCCTGAACCTATCACCTACATCACATTGAACACATAACCTACATCACCCTGAACCTATCATCTACATCACTCTGAACACATCACCTACATCACATTGAACACATAACCTACATCACCCTGAACCTATCATCTACATCACTCTGAACACATCACCTACATCACCCTGAACCTATCACCTACATCACATTGAACACATCACCTACATCACATTGAACACATAACCTACATCACCCTGAACACATCATCTACATCACTCTGAACCTATCACCTACACCACTCTGAACCTATCACCTACATCACTCTGAACACAGCATCTACATCACTCTGAACACATCACCTACATCACTCTGAACACATCATCTACATCACCCTGAACCTATCACCTACATCACCCTGAACCTATCACCTACATCACTCTGAACACAGCACCTACATCACTCTGAACACAGCACCTACATCACATTGAACACATCACCTACATCACTCTGAACACAGCACCTACATCACTCTGAACACATCACCTACACCACTCTGAACACATCACCTACACCACTCTGAACACATCACCTACACCACTCTGAACACATCACCTACACCACTCTGAACACATCACCTACACCACTCTGAACACATCACCTACACCACTCTGAACACATCACCTACACCACTCTGAACACATCACCTACACCACTCTGAACACATCACCTACATCACATTGAACACATCACCTACACCACTCTGAACACATCACCTACACCACTCTGAACACATCACCTACACCACTCTGGACACATCACCTACACCACTCTGAACACATCACCTACATCACATTGATCACAGCACCTATACCACTCTGAACACATCACCTACACCACTCTGAACACATCACCTACATCACTAGGAACATATCATCTACATCACTCTGAACACATCACCGACATCACTCTGAACACAGAATCAGACACATACACACATGGAAACAAGTATCTCCTGGAGTACCTATCATAATTATTCGTGGGTCATTAGTTTTTGAATGGGACGACACTTTGAACACAGACCACCTCCGTATTACTGCGTCTTGTACAATGCAAATCAGTCCAACCTGAGGGCCATTCTTGGTGTTTGGGTCATAGGGGTCACCAACACTTCGTTGTTTTGCTGCCTCCACACTGCGCTTCACAAACTCATCATAGATCTCCTCCTGCACAAACGTCCTGGACCCCGCGATGCAGCACTGCCCCATGTTGGTCATCACAGCCTCATGCGCCCAGGCCACGGCATTGTCCACTGCAAGATCAGGTGCCGTCAGTGAGAGAGGGGTAAATAGAGAGAGTAAATCAAGAGCTCTCATTAGAGAGGGAGGGGTAAATCAAGAGCTGTCATCAGAGAGGGAGGAGATATATCAAGAATCAAGAGGATGCCATCAGAGAGGGAGGGTGTAAATCAAGGGATGACAACAGAGAGGGAGGGGTATATCAAGGGATGACATCAGAGAGGGAGGGTGTAAATCAAGGGATGCCATCAGAGAGGGAGGGGATAAATCAAGGGATGCCATCAGAGAGGGAGAGGTAAATCAAGGGATGCCATCAGAGAGGGAGGGTGTAAATCAAGGGATGACGTCAGAGAGGGAGGGATAAATCAAGGGATGACATCAGAGAGGGAGGGTGTAAATCAAGGGATGACATCAGAGAGGGAGAGGTAAATCAAGGGATGCCATCAGAGAGGGAGTGGTAAATCAAGGGATGCCATCAGAGAGGGAGGGTGTAAATCAAGGGATGACATCAGAGAGGGAGAGGTAGATCAAGGGATGCCATCAGAGAGGGAGTGGTAAATCAAGGGATGCCATCAGAGAGGGAGGGTGTAAATCAAGGGATGCCATCAGAGAGGGAGGGGGTAAATCAAGGGATGCCATCAGAGAGGGAGAGGTAAATCAAGGGATGCCATCAGAGAGGGAGGGTGTAAATCAAGGGATGACGTCAGAGAGGGAGGGGTAAATCAAGGGATGACATCAGAGAGGGAGGGTGTAAATCAAGGGATGACATCAGAGAGGGAGAGGTTAATCAAGGGATGCCATCAGAGAGGGAGAGGTAAATCAAGGGATGCCATCAGAGAGGGAGGGGGTAAATCAAGGGATGACATCAGAGAGGGAGGGGGTAAATCAAGGGATGCCATCAGAGAGGGAGGGGTAAATCAAGGGATGCCATTAGAGAGGGAGGGGGTTAATCAAGGGATGCCATCAGAGAGGGAGGGTGTAAATCAAGGGATGCCATCAGAGAGGGAGGGGGTAAATCAAGGGATGACATCAGAGAGGGAGGGGGGTAAATCAAGGGATGCCATCAGAGAGGGAGGGGTAAATCAAGGGATGCCATTAGAGAGCGAGGGGGTAAATCAAGGGATGTCATCACAGAGGGAGGGGTAAATCAAGGGATGCCATCAGAGAGGGAGGGGGTAAATCAAGGGATGCCATCAGAGAGGGAGGGGGTAAATCAAGGGATGCCATTAGAGAGGGAGGGTGTAAATCAAGGGAGTTTTGTTTTGGAAATATTCTAACAAGTTAATGTGGGGAATCAAACTGGGGGTTCCCGGTGACGAGTAAACCCCTTGACCAGTGGGCTAATTCAAGGCCCAAGTTTCGAGTGACTAAATGGTGTCTCATGGTGTAGTCACTAATATCACAGCTGTATTGAAGTATAGTCCACTGTGCACAGAGATGTGGATCAAGCTCAAGTGTTACAGTCAGAGTTATCTCCCTTCATGCTATGGTTGACAGAACTGCCACTTCTATCACACTCACTCCCACACAGCTCTTAATGGGGATATTGCTATTATTCATGAGTGGTAGACAGTTCATTGATGTAATTTTAAATACTCACAGTTTGAGTCAGCGAAGATGACATTGGGACTCTTTCCCCCCAGCTCCAGGGTTGTCCTTTTGAGGTTCGTGCCGGCCGCGGCAGCCATGATAACCTGGCCAATCTGAACAGCAGACAAACAGGGAAAACTTCATTCTTTTGCTCATACTACAGTGGATGACATTTCTTTATGTATTTAATGTTATTCCTTTCATCCATTACTGATTTTCATAACAAACCCCTTTGTCAGTCTTGTGTCCTTGGGCAGGTCATAATAATGATTTACACCCTGGGTCATGAAAACATTCACACACAGAGAGGGTCAACAAAATAAATGACACTCAATTAGGGAGTGACATGCAGGGATGGTTTCTGAAAATTAATTAATGTACATTAACAGGGTCATCTTCCAAAAAAGAACAAAACTCTCAAACCCATCTCCCCACAAATAAATAAATGACATTTGTACACACAACCAGCTTTTGTCAAAAGAACAAAAGCATCCATTTAGTCCCCCGACTGTATTACAGTACACATGCACTCACCTCTGTTGAGCCTGTGAAGGCCACTTTGTTGATGTCGGGATGCTCGGAGATGGCAGCACCAGCTGTAGGTCCATACCCGGGGACAATACCAACGACACCCGTTGGGAACCCTGCCTGGAATAAACATCATACTTTCAGGCAACAGAGGATACTTCTCGGTAGGAAGTCACTGTTCAGCCTTTTTGCAAACCCTTTTGCCCTGACACATATATGTCGGACAGAGAATACATATATAGGTAGGACAGAGTGTATATTTACATGGACAGTAAGTGAGTGAGTGAGTATGGTTTTACGCCGCTTTTAGCAATATTCCAGCAATATCATGGCGGGGGACACCAGAAATGGGCTTCACACATTGTACCCATGTTGGGAATCGAACCCGGGTCTTCGGCGTGATCAGCGAATGCTTTAACCACTAGGCTACCCGACCGCCCCTTATATATATATATATATAGAGATAGATAGGACAGTATATATATATGTAGGACGTAGAATACACATAAGTAGGACAGAGTGTATAATATGTAGGACAGAGAATATATATATATATATTTACTTGCATGTTATTATTCAAAGTTTTTGGTCGAGTCTGTTGGGTATTAATAACCAATAACAAACAAATTTTTTAAGGTGACAATTTGTGCAGTTTTCACTGCAGCAAACAAATATCTTTGAAAAAATATATGCACACAAACAGAAAAGGCTACTTTGGGTACAAACGCACAGTGTGAAACTATTTGTGTGTTTACACTTTTCAGACGAATATGTATGCAAGCAATTCTAAATTATTTGGGCAATGACAATATATTTTGCTATTTTACACAAATTGCAGCTTACCTGGATGTTATCTCAAATCGTTTACTTTTCTATTAATAACTTGGATGTGTTTTTACTCAAAATACATGTTTCCCCCCCTCCTTTTTTTATACATATGTAAATGTGTTTGCAAATCCAAAACACAGTAATAGCAAATTATAGACTGGAATGATAATGGTTTCACGCAGAAATCTTCATTACGTGTCAAGTTTTGGCAGGAAACAAACACTACTTGTTTGCGACTTAGTCCGAATTGTTACCGTGGAAACACAACAAATAAAAAAAATGTATGAAAAGGCAATAGTTGAGCATATGGTCATTGCACATGTGTAGTTTCAGGCAAAAATATTCATTAGTTTGAGAGTAATGGCTTGGAGGAAACAAAGTCTAGTGTTGTTGGAGACTAAGTCCAAATTGTTTCAATAGGTACATAGCAAAATAAGGTTAAGCAATGCATATGGCAAGTTTTGTTGAAAAACATTGAACAGTTTTTAAGTTGTGGCTTGGAAAAGGATGGGAACACCAAGGCCAACGGGGACCAAGACAAAAAAAATACGTCTGCTCTCTCTTTGGAGTATCATGTCATGTCATGTCATGACACAGGGCCAGTTGACCAAAAAGCTTCTTACTTCTTTGAAGAGTGCCCCGAGGTACAGTGCTGTGAGGGGCGTCTGTTCTGCGGGCTTCACGACGATGACGTTGCCGGCACAGAGGGCGGGGGCTATCTTCCAGCAGAACATGGTGATGGGGTAGTTCCACTGGGGACCACATGGGGGGAGAAAGAACAAGGAGATGAACCACAGAGATTAACAAGCATTATAGCTAAAATGGATAGAGTTATCCTTAAACTGCCCTCACGTTATCAGAAATGAGCGATACTTGATAATGCCCTCATATTGTTTGACGACGGGCCATCATCACGCCCGTTGTTAGGTGACGTCATGGTAATGTTCAATAGTGACGTCATCTGGTTTGTTATATGACGTTTCCATATTTGTAAAAGTGGGTCAGTGAAATTCGTTGTGTGTTGATTGGATTAAATGTTTCAAAACCAATATGTTGTTTATTTTTATTTGACATGTTTGATAACAAATCTATCCATTTTAGCTATAATAACAGTAACGCTATCTGTCAGGGCATTATCATTTGCAGAAGCCCTCGGTCTTTTCAACTGCCCTCCTTCGTCGGGCTGTTAATGGAAGACCTCAGGCTTCTGAAAATGATAATGCCCTGAAAAATAGCGTTACCCTAATATAGCACTGCAAAGATGTCTGTCATGACCCTGTTGGTCGTGTCTTGTTTAGACTGTCAACATTCTCTGTCGTTTCTTACTATTACTGTCCTCAATTGCCATGTTTCTTACTTAGAACTACAAAATTGGCATTAGTCAGGACTAGTACAAGCAGACACACACACACGTGCATACATGTCTCTATATTGGTACAGCAATCTTGGAGGTGACATTTAACTCCATTTCACCTCACCTCACCTCATAGCAGAAAAATTAAGTAGACAATAACTGAAAAGAAGTGTACTGGTAATTTCGTGATTTCTCAGACTTTCTAGAGACTTATTCTTTAATTGTAAGATAAAACATAAACAAAATTCATATTCTACCCATCAAATATTGTGTTCTTAAACAAGCAATGTGTCTGGCTATTTTCATTCCCCATAAGGGATGACATCGGTTTGAAACAGAAAGAAAGTCTTAACTAGTGGTTTGCCAAGGAGTAAATGACTTAGATTTCCCCTCTGCCCTCTCAGAAAACAGAATTTGGATTCTTAACATGCTTAAGGTGGAACATTTTAAAAGTCGTTTTTCAGCCTTCTTTGTCATTACAATCAACACATCTATCCCAGCAGCATACTTACAGGAATGATCTGCCCACAAATCCCAACTGGCTCATGGCGAGTGTAGCAGAAGAAGTCGCCATCTGGAACAGATACACGCCATCAGTGTTCATGCAGCTCCAGTGTCAAGGCATAAAGTGTCCTCTGGCCTTGCAGGCATGACTGTTCCAATATCCTATGAAGCCCTTATTTCAATAGGTGAAAGAACAAGTGGTGGTTGTTCGATGCAACTCAGCAAAAATCCAGCTATATGATGGCAGTTTGTAAATAATCAAGTCGGGACCATACAATCCAGGCATTGACATCATAAGCATATTGATCTACGCAATTGGGATATGATGACATGCCTCAACCAAGTCAGCAAGGTTGACCATCTGATCCCATTCGTTGCCTCTTTGAAGCAGGCACGGGTTGGTGAAGGCCAATTCTAACCCGGAACAAGGGAGAGAGTTTGGTTCAATGCTACTTTCAACAATATTTCAGTTTTGTTTTTTTGGTTTTTGGTTTAACGCTGCACTCAGCAATATACCAGCTATATGACGGCCGTCTGTAAATAATCAAGGCTGGATCTGATCTTCGCAATTTGGATACGATGACATGCATCACAAACACAATTAGCAAAAGGCAAACCACCATTGGTTCTTTCAGTGACCTTGCCTGATAATTAGTCACTTTCAGTATCACTTTCTCGTATTCATGCAAATTTGCTGATTTTGCTTTTCATGACACACGTCATCCCACTCCAGAACACCTACCAACTGGAATGGTCCTGCCCTGAATCTTGTCCGACCAACCAGCATAGTACCGGATCACATTGATGCCGAACATGATGTCCCCCACTGACCCATGGAACGGCTTTCCATTGTCCAGTGTCTCCAAGCTCTGTAACGGAACAGGAGATTTATGTGAGTTATACCCAGGGACATGGGGTTTATGTGATTTATACCCATGGAAATGGGATTTATGTGATAGTTATACCCAGGGACATGGGATTTATGTGAGTTATATACAGGGACATGGGATTTATGTGATAGTTATACCCAGGGGCATGGTATTCTAAGATACAAGGGGCATTCAATAAGTTTTGCAACTTGGGCATTTGTGTTTACACAAACAATGTCAATTTGTGGCAGGTGTGACACTAGTCATAACATCTGGTTGACACGTGTCATAACAAGTTCCAGACACAACAATACGTTAGATGTGATGGCTTCATTCACCTTAGGGTGGTCACAATCATGGATTCTCTCAAACATGAACAACTCGCTGTAATAAAGTTCCTTACCAAGGAGGGATGCAAAGCAAAAGAAATCCATGATTGCATGTGTAAAGTGATGGTAAGGATGCTCCTGACTCAGCGTTAGAAATTGGCACTAGTCCTATAGTCTTTGCCAAACTGCCCAATGGTAAAGGCATCATAACGACTAGTAGAAATTTGCCCTATTTAACATGTTGAAGGGTTTTGCTTTATGTTATCATTATAAGGACTAGTGGGCAAAACTGTTAGGTAGTTTCTAATGCTATGACTATTCCACAGTTTTCCGTTGGTCTCTACAGTTTAAAAGGTGTAGGGAATCCATAGACGATGACCCAAGGTCAGGCAGGCCTTCAGATGCCACCCAACCGGAAACCATTGCTGCTATAGAAAGAAGAATTTTGTCTGACTGACGAGTGAAAGTATCTGAACTTTCTAGGGAATTCCAAATATCAGTTGGAACTGTTGGAACCATTATTCATGAGCATCATGGTATGTCCAAGGTATCTGCAAGATGGGTACCTAGAAACCTCAGAGCTCAAGATCGCCATCAGAGAACTGAAAGTTGTCGAGACCTCCTGGATCTCTATACTGCTGATGAAGCCGGATTTCTTTCTGGTCTCGTGGCAGGTGATGAAACATGGATCCACCACTGGGACCCAGAAACTAAATTGGAATCCATGCAATGGAAGCACCCCAATTCTCCGCCTCCGAGGAAGTTTCGCACTCAACCATCGGCTGGCAAGGTAATGGCCACCATATTTTGGGATGCAAGAGGCATATTACTCATTGATTACATGCCACCAAAACTACAATCAATGGACTGTATTATGCCAATGTTATGAAAGAATTGTGAAAATCTATTCACCAGAAACCCTGTGGGATGCTAACATGTGGTATTCTACTTTTGCATGACAAAGCTCCGGTTCACAAGTAGAGAATTGCACAGGCTGTCATAAGTGAATGTGGATTCGAACAGTTAAATCACCTATCCTACAGCCCAGACTTAGCCCCCAATGACTATTTCCTGCTCTACATGGAAGACGCTTCCAGGATGACGAGGACATAAAGGCTGCCACAGAGGTGTGGTTAGAGGGCCAATCTGCGGATTTCTATAAAAGTGGCATTAAAAGCTTGAAGGACAAATGGAATAAGCGTATTGAGGTGAATGGAGATTGCATTGAAAAATAAAAGTGCAAAAGATATTCTGTAACTTGGTCTTATATTGAAGCTGCAAAACTTATTGAATGCCTCTTCTTATACCCAGGGACAAGGTACTCTGTGATACTTATACCCAGGGAAGTGGGATTATGCAGGGTTAGAAATTGGCACTAGTCCTATAGTCCTTGCCAAACTGCCCAATGGTAAAGGTATCATAAGGACTAGGACTAACATATACCCTAATCCAGGTGTGAAAAAAAATATTTCTGTTTTCCTCTTCAAGTGAAGTCTAAATGTCCAAGCTGACGGAGATAGATGAAACGGACATAAAATATTCACAAAAACACAAATCTACAACTCAGCAGCAAAGGGGTCAGAGGTCAGCGCCCTGACAAACACAAGAATCTGAATCAGTATTTTAGGCACAAATGATTATATATACACTTTTCTCAGATTTGATTTGAAACTGAAGCCAGACATTTAACATGGTTTTTTGGGGGGCATTCTCAGACGCTGATAAATGTTTGTTACAATTTCCAAACAGGTATTAAAGACATCCCAATTTAGGTAATCATAAATTTTAAATCAATATGTTACAGGTTCGCCCGTATGACATAGCTTGACATTACTGATTGCATTGCATCGGATCCAGAGTTGGAATACCTCTGTCAGAATGCCTCGGTCAGAATAGCTGTCAGAATACCTCAGTCAGAATATTTCTGTTAGAATAGCTGTCAGTATACCTCTGTCAGAATACCTGTGTTAGAATACCTATGTCAAAATATCTCCGATTAGAAGAATATAAGAACCTTACAAAAGTCTCATTTCAGTCGAAAAAGTTTCTCACCAGGGTACTTTAGTCTAAAATCCTTGATAATTCAGCATACAACATCCCAAAGCCAAACTAACAAAAGTGTGGGAGGTGGAAAGGATGCATGGCAAGGAGACTGTAAGTGGGGTACAAGTAAGTGGACATAGGAACCAACTCACAGCCAGGTATGCAATGTCCCTCTCAATAAGGTCAGCCAGTTTCCACAGCAGCTTGCCGCGACGACTTGCATCCATGCGGCGCCATTCAGACCCCGGCTTGAAGGCTGTCTTAGCTGCTTCTACTGCGGCATTCACATCGGCCTGGGGAGATGAGGAACTGGTATAAGGTGACAGCTGTAGTGTTGCTGCTATAACAGCTGTAGTGTTGCTGCTATAACAGCTGTACTGTTGCTGCTATAACATGACAGCTGTAGTGTTGCTGCTATAACAGCTGTAGTGTTGCTGCTATAACATGACAGCTGTAGTGTTGCTGCTATAACAGCTGTACTGTTGCTGCTATAACATGACAGCTGTCGTGTTCCTGCTATAACATGACAGCTGTACTGTTGCTGCTATAACAGCTGTACTGTTGCTGCTATAACAGCTGTACTGTTGCTGCTATAACATGACAGTTGTAGTGTTCCTGCTATAACATGACAGCTGTACTGTTGCTGCTATAACAGCTGTAGTGTTGCTGCTATAACAGCTGTACTGTTGCTGCTATAACATGACAGCTGTAGTGTTGCTGCTATAACAGCTGTAGTGTTGCTGCTATAACATGACAGCTGTAGTGTTCCTGCTATAACATGACAGCTGTACTGTTGCTGCTATAACAGCTGTAGTGTTGCTGCTATAACATGACAGCTGTAGTGTTGCTGCTATAACAGCTGTAGTGTTGCTGCTATAACAGCTGTACTGTTGCTGCTATAACAGTTGTAGTGTTGCTGCTATAACATGACAGTTGTACTGTTGCTGCTATAACAGCTGTACTGTTGCTGCTATAACAGCTGTACTGTTGCTGCTATAACATGACAGCTGTAGTGTTGCTGCTATACAAGCTGTACTGTTGCTGCTATAACATGACAGTTGTAGTTTTGCTGCTATAACAGCTGTAGTGTTGCTGCTATAACAGCTGTACTGTTGCTGCTATAACATGACAGCTGTAGTGTTGCTGCTATAACAGCTGTAGTGTTGCTGCTATAACAGCTGTAGTGTTGCTGCTATAACAGCTGTACTGTTGCTGCTATAACATGACAGTTGTAGTGTTGCTGCTATAACAGCTGTAGTGTTGCTGCTATAACAGCTGTAGTGTTGCTGCTATAGCATGACAGCTGTAGTGTTGCTGCTATAACAGCTGTACTGTTCCTGCTATAATATGACAGCTGTAGTGTTCCTGCTACAACATGACAGCTGTACTGTTGCTGCTATAACAGCTGTAGTGTTGCTGCTATAACAGCTGTAGTGTTGCTGCTATAACATGACAGTTGTAGTGTTGCTGCTATAACAGCTGTAGTGTTGCTGCTATAACAGATGTAGTGTTGCTGCTATAACAGCTGTACTGTTGCTGCTATAACAGCTGTAGTGCTGCTGCTATAACATGACAGTTGTAGTGCTGCTGCTATAACAGCTGTAGTGTTCCTGCTATAACAGCTGTAGTGTTGCTGCTATAACATGACAGTTGTAGTGTTGCTGCTATAACATGACAGTTGTAGTGTTGCTGCTATAACAGCAGTAGTGTTGCTGCTATAACAGCTTTACTGTTGCTGCTATAACATGAGTTGTAGTGTTGCTGCTATAACAGCTGTAGTGTTGCTGCTATAACAGTTGTAGTGTTGCTGCTATAACAGTTGTAGTGTTGCTGCTATAACAGTTGTAGTGTTGCTGCTATAACAGTTGTAGTGTTGCTGCTATAACAGCTGTACTGTTGCTGCTATAACATGACAGCTGTAGTGTTGCTGCTATAACAGCTGTAGTGTTGCTGCTATAACATGACAGCTGTAGTGTTCCTGCTATAACATGACAGCTGTACTGTTGCTGCTATAACAGCTGTAGTGTTGCTGCTATAACATGACAGCTGTAGTGTTGCTGCTATAACATGACAGTTGTAGTGTTGCTGCTATAACATGACAGTTGTAGTGTTGCTGCTATAACAGCTGTACTGTTGCTGCTATAACAGCTGTAGTGTTGCTGCTATAACATGACAGTTGTAGTGTTGCTGCTATAACAGCTGTAGTGTTGCTGCTATAACAGCTGTAGTGTTGCTACTATAACATGACAGTTGTAGTGTTGCTGCTATAACAGCTGTAGTGTTGCTGCTATAACAGCTGTACTGTTGCTGCTATAACATGACAGTTGTAGTGTTGCTGCTATAACAGCTGTAGTGTTGCTGCTATAACAGCTGTACTGTTGCTGCTATAACATGACAGTTGTAGTGTTGCTGCTATAACATGACAGTTGTAGGGTTGCTGCTATAACAGCTGTAGTGTTGCTGCTATAACAGCTGTAGTGTTCCTGCTATAACATGACAGTTGTAGTGTTGCTGCCATAACAGCTGTAGTGTTGCTGCTATAACAGCTGTAGTGTTCCTGCTATAACATGACAGCTGTAGTGTTGCTGCTATAACATCATGTACTCACCACCAAAAGAAACACGAACCATAGAAACATGAGAGAAGTATGAATGTTAAGAGATGTTTTCCAATGTGTACCCCTTAATGACAAAACTAACACAATGTGTACCACTTAATGACAAAACTAACACAATGTGTACCACTTAATGACAAAACTAACACAATGTGTACCACTTAATGACAAAACTAACACAATGTGTACCCCTTAATGACAAAACTAACACAATGTGTACCACTTAATGACAAAACTAACACAATGTGTACCACTTAATGACAAAACTTTTACAAACCTGTAGAGGTTATGAATTCTCTGATGAAATCCTCCTTGGGGCACTTATTGCATTTTCCTGGCTCAAGAAAATCTACATGACATAGTTGTAACCATTTTCCTTAATAAAAATTGTTACCACACAAAAAACTTTGTTTTTGTATGATATACGTCCACCCTTATGGTGCCTCACCCTCCACGGCGCGTCACGCCAAGGGAAGCAACTCTCACCCAAATCACTTTCCATATGTCTAATGCTGACGGAATGTGGGGAGGCGGGTGGCCGTGCCCAAAGGAGGATTTCATCAGAGAATTCATAACCTCTACAGGTTTGTAAAATTCTCTTTCAGATTAAATCCTCCTTGGGGCACTTATTGCATCAAGATAGACTCCTAAAGATAATCTAGGAAGTGGCATCCGTCAGCAACAAGCGTGCATAAAATACATCGTATTTTGATTATTTCAATGAATAAACAAGAGTTCAATAAATGGAACCAACCTTATCGTGAGGCACCACCGTCGAAAGGCGGGGGCTGGAGACAGGGCGTTATCGACCATACACAATGAAAAGAGCCATTCTTTGTGGCTTATCATATCGAGAACTCGAGACACACACACACCCCACCCCACCCACTTTTTTGAACAAGTGATATTGGGGGCACAGATCATGAGAGACTATAAACCCGCACAGAGCTAGGCCAGAGGCTCCCCGTAATCGAAGGAGTGCATGTGCAATTACGATGATTATCGACTAGTAATGGCTGGTATTGTATCGACCGTAGAAGATAAAATCCGGACCGTTACTGAGCAGTGTTATAACCGGTCCGGGCGGTCTAAAATCTCGAAGGCTCAATCGGCTAGAGATGTAGAACTTTGCCCAGTTCGGAGAACTGACTGACCAAACCGAGCACGCTCGCTTGAGTGTTTGTCGAGTTGGTAATGTTTGATGAACGTGCTCGGCTGGCTCCAAATAGCCGCGGAGCAGATCTCCTCAATGGGCAGAGCCGCAGCATACGCTTGTGTCGTAGCCACTGCTCTAACCGAATGAGCCTTCAACTTGGTAGGGGGGTCCCTGCCTTGAAGCGTGTACGCCGTACATATAGTAGAGACTATCCACCACGAGATAGTTTGTTTGCTCGCAGGTGAGCCAGCCTTCCTACCGCCATAACAGCAAAATAGTTGATTATCCTTACGGATACCCTTAGTTCTGCTGATATAGGACTTAAGGGTCCTGCGCGACATCCAAGACATGAGCATGTCTTGTAGTGGTCCCCGACGAGGAAGGCTGTGAAAGAGCAGGTAGCTCAATAGGAGCCGTCACGTGGAAGGCGTGTGCGACCTCAGGACGGTAAGAGTCCGGCAGGCGAATACTGACCCTGTCCCGGTGAAAGACAGTTAGTTCGGGATCGGCTGACATTGCGTGAATGTCGCCTACCCGTCTGCCGGACGTTACCGCCACAAGGAACGCCGTCTTCCAGCTCAACAGCTGAAGAGAGAGAGACGACAGATCCCGAAAAGAAGGACCGGACAGCCAATCAAGAACGATTGACAATTCCCAAGGGGGACTGATCCGCCGGACAGGCGGTCGGATCCTGTCCACACCTGCTAAAAAACGCTGCACTAATGGGTGCGCACCCAAAAGTGCCCCGTCGACGGGGACGTGAAAGGCAGCGATAGCTGTAGAGTACCCCCGGACTGTCGATGCGGCCAGGCCGACATCTAGTCGCGACTGGAGGAACTCAAGTACGGCTACGAGATCTGCAGAAAAGGGATCTGCAATCCTTCTATCGACACACCAGCGCGCATAGCAGGCCCATCTATCCTCGTACTGAACGTTTGTCGAATCCCTCTGCGAAGCCAGTATTGTGTCTGCAACTCGTGCAGGAATACCACTCTCCTGGAGGCGATTCCAGACAGTGGCCAAGCCACCCACTGAATCCTGGGATTCGGGTGGAGGGCCTCGTTCTGGGATAGGAGGTCCGGTCGTAAAGGTAATAGAACAGGAGGCTGAGCCAGAAACCTGAGTATGACTGGAAACCAACTCTGCGCCGACCAAAGGGGTGCCAGGAGCACAAGTAGTCGCGCAGGCTGAGTGGCTAGCTGAGACAGGACCTTGGAAATCAGAGGTACTGGGGGAATGCCCACAGTATTCTGTCCGTCCAATCTAGCTGGAAGGCGTCCGGTGCCACCGACCTCGGGTCGGGGACTCGGGAGCAGAACGTTGGTGTCTGGTGATTCACCCCAGACGCAAACAGATCCACCTGGAACGACCCGTATAACTGGGAGATAATCCCGAATATCCCCGGGTCGAGCCTCCACTCGTGAGGAGCGAGGATCCGGCGAGACAGAGCGTCCGCACGGACGTTGTCTACCCTCGGGAGATAAACAGGTAGCACCCTGATAACGTGTGAGTCGCACCATAGGAGGAACTGCCACGTCTCTTGGAGAAGTGACGGAGACACCGTTCCCCCCTGCTTCCGGATGTAAGTCATCGCCGTTTGGTTGTCCATCTCTAGACGCACCACTTGGCCACGAAGCAGATCCAGGAAGCGTTGGAACACCAACCTGACCGCTCTCAGTACTAGCACATTGATATGCAGTTTGATCTCCTGCTGGGACCATAGTCCCGAGGCAGTGTGATCGTTCAGAACGCCTCCCCAGCCGGAGAGTGACGCGTCTGTTTGAACTGTGAGAGACGGCACGGGAGTGTCGAGGGGGAGCCCCCGGGACAGATTCCCGACCTCGGTCCACCACTGAAGGTGTGCATTGAGCCACTGCGGAGTCTCTTCTGAGTTCACCCAAAGTCGACGGAGCGCTTGTTGAATGGGTCTCATTCTCAAGCGCGCCCGCCAAACCACATCCACTGTCGCCGCCATGTTGCCCAGTAACTGGAGCCATGTACGAGCAGTGTGACTGGCGGACAGAAGGAACTGGGAAGTAACACTTCTGACCTTGGTAATGCGATCTTGTGACAGAGATACAAGTCCGCTCACCGTGTTGAAATTCGCCCCTAGGAAGACTAGATTCTGAGTAGGGCTCAGATCTGACTTCTTGAGATTGACTATCCACCCTAGAGTGATCAGAATATCTATCACTTGTTGTGTAGCTATCTGACTCAGGGATTGCGATAGAGCTCTTAGTAACCAGTCGTCGAGGTACGGATGGCAGAACCGACCTTTTGACCTGGCCACTTGGGCGGGAATCAACATCAGCTTGGTGAACACCCTCGGGGCCGTAGCGATCCCGAATGGTAGAATCCTGAACTGATAACACCTCCCGTCGAAAGAAAACCTGAGGTATTTCTTGAACTCGGGGTGTATGGGTACGTGGAGATAGGCATCTTTTAGGTCTATTGACGTTAGCCATTCTCCGGTCTCGACAGCTGAGATCACCGAGCGCAGTGTCTCCATCCTGAAGGACGGTACCTCTATAAGTTTGTTCAGCCTTCTCAGATTGAGAATAGGCCTGAACCCTCCGTCTTTTTTGGTGACTAGGAAATATGTCGAGTAGAAGCCCTCGCTTTCCTGTCCAACGGGAACCGGTTCGATCGCAGCCTTCATAAGAAGTGCGTCGACCTCGGCACGGAGGAATTCCGCCCTCTCCAGGGTAGCAGGCACCGAAGTGTGCTTTATCCCGGAGAAGGGGGGCGGATGATGTTTCCACCGAGGCAAATGGCCATCCCTTAGAGTGGACAGGGTCCAGGGATTGGATGTGACTGTCTCCCATTCCTGCAGGAATAGAGCCAGTCGGCCGCCTACGGGGACATCCGGCTTGAGGCAGCGGACCCCGGCTGTCGGCAGTTCGAAAACATGCGACCGTGGGTCCGCCCGGGGCGCTTCGGGCGCTAATGGGAACCCGATGGGTTCCCGGCCCCGCGAAAAGGCTGCTGGCCTCGACCAGCTGCCCTGCCCCGGCCCCTGCCTCTCTTGCTCCTCCCGGCGCCCTTACCTGAAGGAAGCGGCTGCTTCCAAGCAGGTGCAGACTTCTGACCCGGCACGTCAGCGTAGGAGGAAGCAAGTGGAGAGGTCCGCTTACGCGGTTTAACGCATGGTACCTCCAACAAGGCCTTAGAATCCTTGATGGAGGCATACAACTGTGTATACCTCTCGGACCACCTGCTGAGCCCCAGGGAAGAGGGTGGCACCCATCTTATAAGGCAAAGCAAGTAGATCCTGGCGTGTGGAAGCCGAGTATTTGGATACCGACATCCACAGCCTGCGCATGCCCATGACTGCGCACATCATCTGCGAGGCACAGCTACGAATAGCGTCCCTCGCAAGATGACTATGTACCTCCGTAAGTTGCGCGGCCAACTCCGAAGAGTCGGCCGGCCCCTCTCCCGCTAACTCCCTCTGTACGGCCGACAGATAAGCGGAGTGTACGGACACCCGGAGCTGCTGACATGCGTTACGATATTGCTCCTCGAAGCAAACGTAAGCAGCCTTCAGCTCCGTACCGCACGCGGGAAAGGGTGGCAACCACCGGCCCTGCTTGACCTTAGCCAAGTTGGGGGTCGAAGACCCCCCCAGGGTAACGGAGGTCCAGACGCATTCGTCCACCACCGGTACCTCAAAATCACCATCCTCTGCTAACGGGTACCGCTTAATAAGTTCGGGCAGGTTGATGACTTCATGCACCAATGAAGACAGAATACGGACCGCACGCGGGAAAGGGTGGCAACCGCCGGCCCTGCTTGACCTTAGCCAAGTTGGGGGTCGAAGACCCCCCCAGGGTAACGGAGGTCCAGACGCATTCGTCCACCACCGGTACCTCAAAATCACCATCCTCTGCTAACGGGTACCGCTTAATAAGTTCGGGCAGGTTGATGACTTCATGCACCAATGAAGACAGAATACGGAGCCGCACCTTGGGCGCCTTGCTCGGAGCAAAAGCGTCCCCCGGAAGGCGGAACTCAGTCGGCCCCCGGGGAGGGAGCGGAGGAGACAGTCTCAGCTGCCTTTTTACCCTTTCTTACTTTTTTTGAGGGGGGCGGGGCGGTCTTTGCCGATCTAATGTCTTCGGCCAAACACTTTATGCAAGTATCATGCCTGTCTTGGGGGGGAATCGAAGCCGAGCACCCCGTACACAGTTTGAAGGTCTGTAAAAAAGACCGTAATTTTTTAGTTTGGCGGGAAGGGTAATAAAGTGTATCAGTGCGATTGAAAGATCGGAAAGATACGTGCATAAATTGTGTAACTAGAAGCAAAGGCGTAATTTAGAATGCGATTGGTAACGCGATACTAATAGCCAATGTCGTAGTATAATTATAACACCAAAGTGGGCGTGTTACGCGCGAAGGTGTAGAAAACCCGTAAAAAAGGTAAGTGTAATTTAAAATAATTAACACACCACCTTGGGTTTATTTAAAGGAAAAGATTGTAGGCTAAAGCCCGATGATATAGATTAAAAAACCGAAGCCGTTTTTGATGGCCCTGGTGTTACATATATAATACGTGGCACTACAAAATGGACGCTACGACGGCCTTCATTTCAAAGGTATCGTACACGTGTCACATAATTACAACTTTATAACTTTACAATGCGAGGTATTACGCCTTTGCATGAAAGAAATGTACCATACATACAGTTTGGTCTGCCATGGTTCTTGTACGAACGATTATCTTGTCTTTATTTTGTCTTGAAAAAAAACAGCACGTCTGTCTTTGTCAGATGACATAAGGAAAGTGATTTGGGTGAGAGTTGCTTCCCTTGGCGTGACGGGTGAGGCACCATAAGGGTGGACGTATATCATACAAAAACAAAGTTTTTTGTGTGATAACAATTTTTATTAAGGAAAATGGTTACAACTATGTCATGTAGATTTTCTTGAGCCAGGAAAATGCAATAAGTGCCCCAAGGAGGATTTAATCTGAAAGAGAATAACAATCAGGCAAGTGTTACCACAAAATGTCTTTATTCTTATCACAATATGCTGCACATAATTTCCAAACTTTACTCGCTAATCCTGCACAAGACAAATGGTGCATCTCGAGTTCAGTTCACACAACGTACCAGTATGTTCGTTTGTGCATCAGACCAATCTAATATCTCTTGAATATGAGTAATTCTTCATATATTAACAAACATGTGTGATATTCGAGTTTCTTTTGTTGGTGAGTATTGACGTTGTGTGTTGCCACGACAGCTGTGGTGTTGCCGCTGTAATGTGATAGATTTAGAGAGTGGCCACATGTTGCTCTAATACTGGACTTTTGCTGTTGTGACACAAAACCTATGTTTAGTTTAACTGTCTTTTGCAAAATATACAAAAGGGGTGAAACTTCCGGCCTAAGTGTGAATGAAGAGTGGAGAGACCACTGCACCACAAACCTTGTCTCCTTCCTGGACGTCAGCGATCTTCTCTCCAGTAGCGGGGTTGAACGTTGGAAAGGTTTTTCCGCTTGCTGAGTTCACAAACTCATTACTGAGGAAGATCTGAAAAACGTTAAATTGCACTCAATAAAAGTACTGATAGTGAATGTTGTGTTTATTTGTTGTTTAACGCCGCTCTCAGCAATATTCCAGCTATATGACGGCAGTCTGTAAATAATCAAGACTGGGCCAGACAATCCAGTGATCGACATCCTGAGCATCAATCCACGCAATTGGGATATGACGTACATCATCCAAATCAGTAAGCCTGACCTCCCAATCCCTTTAGTCGCCTCTTACAACAAGCAAAGTCGCCTTACTGTTAGTGAATGATGCTGTAATTTGGCTCAAAACCGGCTAAACTGTAAATACTGCTCTGCATGTTAACATGGTTAATATAAAATGTTTGTTTTATTTCATCAGAGACCATATAATAGATTTGCATATTTGCAGAGTTAGAATCAACTAGCGTATGTGCAACGCACATCAAATAAAGGTTCAGTTGTCAACTCAGGGAAGACTTCTGCCCATATCCCCCCTCCAAAACTTGAATATGTATGTACTGCCGCTCAATCCTTTTAGTTATATATATTTTTTAGGGGTGAAAAGGGGGAAGTCTAACCGTTTATTTCATGATGAAATATTGTTCTATCATGATATCATTTCTGGAAACTCAAGCATGCGCTTGCAACTTGATGACATCGTAAATTGGACAACGATATTTTGGAGGGTGAAGTGTCCAGTGATATGACAAGCAAAGTCGCCTTACTGTTAGTGAATGATGCTGTAATTTGGCTCAAAACCGGCTAAACTGTAAATACTGCTCTGCATGTTAACATGGTTAATATAAAATGTTTGTTTTATTTCATCAGAGACCATATAATAGATTTGCATATTTGCAGAGTTAGAATCAACTAGCGTATGTGCAACGCACATCAAATAAAGGTTCAGTTGTCAACTCAGGGAAGACTTCTGCCCATATCCCCCCTCCAAAACTTGAATATGTATGTACTGCCGCTCAATCCTTTTAGTTATATATATTTTTTAGGGGTGAAAAGGGGGAAGTCTAACCGTTTATTTCATGATGAAATATTGTTCTATCATGATATCATTTCTGGAAACTCAAGCATGCGCTTGCAACTTGATGACATCGTAAATTGGACAACGATATTTTGGAGGGTGAAGTGTCCAGTGATATGCTAACCATTAATGTGGTTGGGAACCCACAGATAAGCATAAATGGAAGTAGTCCAACAGGTTCAGAGGGTCACCGGTATCAAGATAGGGGAATAATGCTCATAGCGATTTTTGGCAAGGTATGGACCCTGAGAGTTATAAATTTTGTGATAGCATTGCAGCGGTGGCAGCTTTGTGGGTGTTATCACCTTTTTACAAAATGGCCGCCAAAATATGAGTTAAGTGGCCATATCTAAACTCCTAGAGCAGTTAGGACGGTTATTCTGGTGTCTATGACTAGGTTTGAGGGGTCAATGATCTCATTTCTGCCTTTACCAAAACCATTGGAGCATGTTTTTATATGAAAATCCAAAATGGACGCCAAAATGTTTATTACCACATACAAGTGGCCATATCTAAGGTCATAGAGCAGTTAGGACAGTCATTTTGCTGTCTATGACTAGGTTTTAGGGGTTAAAGATTGCATTTCTGTCTTTACCTAAAACATTGCAGCCTTGCTTTATATTGAAATCGAAGATTGCTGTGAAAATGTCTCTTGGCTAGCATATAAAATGCCTTATTAAATCTCCTAGAGCAGTTAAGCAGTGTTTTTGGTGTTCATGATCAGGGTTGAGATGTCAAAGATAATTTTGTTTGTCTTTACCTAAAATGAGAAATCCTTCCTTTATATGTGAATCCAAGATGGACACTAAAATGGCTGCAGTAAAAAATTTAAACTCTGATTATATGCACATAGTTCACGACGAATCTAAACTGCCGGGCAAAAGAAAGTTTTCACTTTAAAAATTGTTGTATCAACATGATCAAAAGCAAAAAAGCTGGTACAGGTTTGAACCCCCGCAGAAAACATTCGCCCAAAGGCAACATGACCATGACCACAACCACAACGCAGATTTTCGAACGCAGCTTTCCAAATCATGCATTGTTGAAAACGAGCAAAACATGATTTTGAGACATTGGTCCAAATGCACGTGCATAAGTACCGACGTTGGACAGAGCAGGCATTCACTAAGCAAAAAAAAACAAAAAAGAATATGCCCAGACTTACACAAGCGCAAGAGACAGAGCGATCGGTATGTCCAATAAGGGGGCTACTCAATGTCAGATAGCCAGAACCTTCAACTGCTCCCAGACCACCATCCGCAAGTTGTTAACCGCTACCAACAGACAGGACGGACTCAAGACAGGCCAAGATCGGGAAGACCGAGAGTGACGACTCCGGCCGAAGACCGCTACATCCGACAGATTCACCTCCAAAACGGATGTGTGACGGTGACGGCGACGTCAACGGCGGCAACAGCACAAGGGCATGCCATGAGCAGACTATCAGTCCTTCGACGACTTCATACGGCTGGTATACGAGCCTACCGACCCTTCCGTGGAATGACCTTGACCTGTCTACACCGCCAAAGCAGACTGCAATGGGCACGAACTGTACGTCGGTGGCAGCGACGTGACTGGGCGAGAGTGCTCTTTACAGATGAAAGTCGGTTCTGTCTGTTCAGGAACGATGGCAGAGTTCAAGTTTTTCGTCGAAGGGGAGAGCGACTGGCGCCAAACTGCATTAGAGAGGTTCACCCGTTTGTAGGTGGAGGCGTCATGGTATAGGGTGGCATTTGTGGTCAGATTACAACACAGCTGGTTATCATCTGAGGAAACCTGAATGCTCAGCGATACAGGGATGAAGTGTTGAGACCTGTTGTGGTGCCCTTTATTCAACATCAGCCAAGAAGATCAATTTTGCAACAAGACAACGCAAGGCCTCACACTGCCCGATTTGTTCAAGACTACCTGAACAATGTTAACATCAACGTATTGCCCTGGCCACCTTCTTCTCCAGACATGAACCCCATTGAACATCTCAGGGATCATCTTGATCGTCAGCTGAGACAACATGTACCACCTCCAGCGAACCGACAGGAACTTGAACAGACTCAATTGAACTTATGGAACAGGATTCCTGTTGACATTATCCGCCAACTGACGACATCAATGAGGAGGCGTTTGTTGGCGTGATGGATGCCCAGGCGGTCACACTCGCTATTGATGACGTGTTACCTGAACTACTATGTCATTAATGGACTCTTCATGAACTTTTTCAATGAACTCTGATTTGTGTAATTTTAAATTTGGACCCCTTGACTCTTTCTTTGTGTATTGCGGAGAATACAATATTGGCATTACAATGCATTTTCATTCTAATTCATGGAAAATGATTTCTGTTCATGAATTAATCATCATAAATCTCACATATGCCTTTGTTTTTGGTGTTTGGTCAAGTGAAGTCTTTATGCTCCGATGGTTTTGGTAAAGGCAGAAATTAAATCTTTGACCCCTCAAACCTAGTCATAGACACCAGAATGACCGTCCTAACTGCTCTAGGAGTTTAGATATGGCCACTTATATGTGGTAACACGTATTTTGGCGGCCATTTTGAAAAAAAGGTGATAACACCCACAAAGCTGCTGCCGCTGCAATGCTATCACAAAATTTATAACTCTAGGGCCAAAAATCGCTATGAGCATTATTCCCCTAACTTGATACTGGTGGCCAAAATTTGGGACATGATTGGTATTAGGAGAAAAGGTGCAGATAACCCAGTGTGAATTGTGAGAATATGCAGGAAATAAATAAATGAACGCCCATTTTCACTGTATGGAACCAGGCTTCATGCCTTGTCATGCTTATTTATTATGGGTTTGAGAAAATTACTAGTTCTGCAAGGGTTGAAAACGGACTTTTATAATCAGGTAACTGCCTTGCCTCGGGAAGATGAGCATGGAAAAAGTTCTGCCATACCCATACTAGAGGCGAATATGGGATTTGAACCCACGATCATAGGTTTCTACGACTCTTTAGCGAACGCAACTTTTCACAGTAAAATGCGGTACCTTCAAGGACTGGGTGTATTTTGATGACTAAATGAATTATGGAAAATACATGTGAGAGGCATCATTGCACAGCACGTGCTGCCTTATTTGTCATGGGTTTGAGAAAATTACAAGGGGACATGGGAATGAGTTTTTGTTTCCCCACAGCGTGATCACCACGAAGGGTGCAGGTCGTGACCCGGGTCATGGTGTATTCTACATCAAAACCAGTGTCTAACTTGCGGGTACCAGCTTTGCACCCTCGTGAATAGCAAGCTGGATTTGATGTTGTCAAAACTCGCCAGATCTTGTTTGAGATATGATGTCGTTTCGACCGGTGCCCGTTTAGCCCGATCTCGTTACAACCGGCAGCTGATAATGTTTCTGCTGCAATCGCAAATTGTCAAGTCAACATTTTCCTTCGTTCTGCAAGAAAAAGACATGCCATGATTAGAGAATAAGCTGTCTTGTTACCAAACATGTTAGTCCTACCTGGGTGAACTTTACTTCGGGGTTGCGTATCGGTTCTGGTTGAATCTCAGCCATTGTGATAGTCTTGTTTTGTCTTCTACGCCTCCTTCGCTGTCGATTGTGACTTTATAGCTATCATGTGACATACCACGTGGTCAAGCTCGAAGCGGTACAAGGCCGCCTGTGAGAAAGGCTTTGTCATGCCCCTGACTCCCGAATGTTCCAATCGGTACACATTTTCTTAACATACTAAAAATGTATTATAGCGATTTCTAAATGACAAAATACAACATTAATATGTTATTAAAAATAATCTGTCATGCAGTTTCGTTAAATATGAAATGTGATCGATCATTATATGTACACAGATGTGTACAACAGGTAATCTATTAGTCTGTCTTACAGACCCTGATACAAATATATATCAAATACAGCCCATGCAAGTCTATAATGTTTGGCAAGTCTAGATCACTGCAGTATCAGGGTCTCTGAAAATGAAGAGAGTCACTGGGCTCCTTTCTATTATATTTTTATTAAGATAACTGAACAACTGTTTTTTTATGTACGATATGTTCATTTCAGAGACTAGATGTTAGTCTAGTAATCTATCATCCATGCTCGAAATTAAAAAAAACATATCTCAGTGTCAAAAACTGCTCACAGCGACCTTCACTGGCTGATAAAGTTTTTTGGTTATGGAGGGGCCGTGTGTGTCAGCACGGACTTGTTATATAGGTCCGTGGTGCTAGCAAGTTAAAAAGTAATAAACATATATATGTAAATTATCCTGAAAGCAATGTGCGTTTCGTACTCGCGTTATATTTTAGTAAACCTATTTTAAACATACATGTTCATACCCTTATAGCTAAATATTGTGTCTCTACGCATTCACACTTAATATATACGGCGACATTTGAAAATTCCAATGTGAATAAGGACGTCTGTTTTAAGAAGAGAAACACATTGCTATTCAAGGTAGGATTATATTCTACTCAAACGAAGTTTAAGAAAATGCGCTTCTTTCATGTTTCTGTGCAGTTGTCCCATTGCATGAGTGAGTGAGTGCGTGAGTTTGGTTTACGCCGCTTTTTGCAATATTCCAGCAATATCACGGTGGGGGCCACCAGAAATGGGCTTCACACATTGTACCCATTTGGGGAATCGAACCCGAGTCTTCGGCGTGACGAGCGAATGCTTTAACCACTAGGCTACCCGACCGCCCCTCTATGACATGACAGATTAACTATAGTAATGCAATATAACTGGCCCGTGAAGATCCGTGGTAGAATATGTCTTCAGCAACTCATGCTTGCCCTAAAAGGCGAGTATGTTAGCTTGTCCTCAAAGGCGACTAACGAGATCTGGTGGTCAGGCTCGCTGACTTGGTTGATGCATGTCATCGTATCCCAATTGCGTGGATCGATGTTCATGATGTTAATCACTGGGTTGTCTGGTCCAGACTCGATTACTAGTATTTACAGACCGACGTCATATACAATGTAGCTTGAATATTGCTGAGTGCGGCGTAAAAACAACAAACAAACAAACAAGATAACTTTGATCCAGAGGATCAACATGACGCAAAGAAATTTTGTAGCATACGGACCTATTGATGCGAGTACTTGTACTGTCACATGTGTTACCCAGTAGGTAAGTTAAATTGTAATTTGCATGTGGTACCTTCAGCATCGGGAATGAGAATATTGCACAGTTCCGTTGAACTATTTATGTAACATATAAGTAGAAACAAACATAGTATGAAAACAAAACCAGTATATGTTTTCCAACCAGTGACTACCTGGAACATTTGTTATTGTTTTCAAGGATCATGGGGTATTAAGTTGACACAATCTTAGTGGTATACATGTACTGTTTACATTGATTTATCATCAAAAACTGGCTCCCACAGGAGATATCGCTTGGATTAGATCAAGCGATATCTACACTGTATCTACACTGTAGATATCGCTGCAATGAAATTACATCACAATGCTTTGCAGACCATTGTGACGTCACTGGTTACCACGACGTCACAATCAAATGACACCACTAATGGCTCTGCTACTGAAGCTGTTAGCAGTACTTTTTACACTGAAGACACTGCTAATTACTGTCTACAAATTGAAAAAGTTGGAAGAATGATGTTGGATGATAAATAAAATCTCACCCTCGTGTCTTTTGATATCAAATATATCAACACTCGTTGATAAAAGTGGCAAAAATCCTCGGCAAGCCTCGGAGTTATCCCACTTTTATCAACTCGTATTGATATATTTGATATCAAAAGACACGAGGGTGAGATTCTCTATATACCTTCATTGGTAAAGTTAATCTTTAATCTTTCATTAATCTTTTTTTTTAAAAAGAAGCTACACTAGCTGTTGTAATATTTTTTTCTTATCATGAACAAGATCAGTGGAGACAATTGAAACCCACAACTTTGTGAGTGCGTATATTTTCCATGAACGATACTTCTTGACACCGGGCCACAAGACTGCTCGTGTCACGACCTAGGGACCGTCAAGCTGGCCACTGTTGGGGACGACATCTGGAGGCCGAAACAGCATTCCTCCACCGACTGAGAGAGGATGGGTGATATGAGTAGCACATGGCTATGCTCCTTCGTTGACTACACTACCACAAGCGTCTAAGTCATGCCAAGAGCTTCTGAGATGTAGTTGAAAGTGTGAGAGGGGGTGCAGACCAAGTTGTGACTGTGTTGTCACATTTAATTCGTACACCACTTTGCAAATGTCATCATATTTAAATGTTTTTTGGTTAGTTGTTTAACGCCGCACTCAGCAATATTCCAGCTATATATAACGGCGGTCTGTAAACAATCTCATTAAAATCAGATCTTAGTTCTCGCTACCGCAAAACAAAAATCTGAGGACATCCCATTACGGGTCACGTCAGACCGACCCTGCTCGAACTTTGAAGAAGTCGACATTAGCCAATCAGAAGGCAGCTTTATCGTGCTTTACGGCATTAATTTCAAATTGGCGACAACGCTTCGAAAAATATTTTGACAAGTTCTAAATAAAAAAAATTGAAACCTGAACAAAAGAACATTCTGGAATGGCTAATTGATGGTCTAGGCTGTATGGATTCAGCCTCGGCAAGCCTCGGATTTTTTCCCCTTTTATCAACTCGTGTTGATATATTTGATATCAAAAGACACGAGGGTGAGATTCTCTATATAACAATAAAAATGTAAAAAAACTCGCAAAAAAATCATAGACGAGGCCTTTGATTTTTTTTGCGAGTTTTTAATTTTTTTATTGTTATAATTAGTTACATGGCCCTGTGGATGCCGTCCTTATGATTTTATGATGTCAATAAATAATTTCTTGCTGTCACGAAATTAATTCTTGATATCTCTAATTATATTTTATGATATCAAAGAACAATTATTGACAGCGTAAAATATTTATTGATTGAGAAAAAAAAAATCGATTTAAAGATATTTCTAACAAATTTCAATATTTGTTTTGTGTGTTTACTTTCAATTCACGATCACCTGTGAAATTCATAGGGAGAAATTAACCCGTGGGTACACCATTTGAGAATATACAGGTCCCCAGCAAATTCTTACAACCCCCCAACGCTCATGCTTTCTCATGTTTATCAAATATTATCAAAGTGTATCAATTCAGTGTCTGGGTCAGATTGAAACTAAGGCCAATCAGACACAGCACAATTTTAGGTCATGCCGTATTATGTGCTTATCTCAAGTCACGTGATCGCACATGCACCCAGGCTGTCGACCAGTCAAGATGTCTGCTGTAGTTCAGCGTCTGTTGAAAGCCCGAACTGTGTTCAACGCTCTGAAACAACACAGAGCATGCATGTCAGCGGCACCAGACCCCATCAGACAACCGGATATTAAATATGCTAAGGTAAGCTGACATTTGAAATCACATCTGTTCTGTAATTAAAGTAATTGCGCTCGGTAACTTCATGCAACCCCATTGCTTTTGGTGCAGCTGTGAGTAACCATGTTAACAGTTTGTTTCCTCATACGTTTTCAGACGGCTAAATTACTTGCGCATTAAAATTGTTCTGTGATTATTACCAGTTTTTAGTGAGTGATGTGTTTTACAGTTGTTTTTGTGATTAACGAGAAAATTACAAATGTTTCTTACGCGTCCGGAACGACTCGGGGATATATTTAGCAGGGAATAGACATGGGAAGTCGATATTTCACTGTGACCTAGTTATGCTATGTTTAATAGATACATAAAACCAGGTAACGTTACTAGAAAGTAAATAATTTGGTTTTTGTTTGGCTTGCACTGGGCCTAAACCCACGTTTGGTTCCGCAGAGACCATATAGATTCCTCTGATATTAAATAAGCCTTATAGGGTGCCGAAAGTATAGGGTGCCTTGATAAGAGAAAAATGTTGTGTCATCGGATGTACAATCGTTGCATGCACTGATGCATTTACAAGTTGAAGGCTGCAATCGTACACATGTTTACAGGTCGTTTAGCTCTGCTCAGCTTGGGTCGTAGGTACCGTACAACCTTGAATAAAAGCTGGTCATTTGTTAATTCAGGGAGTTCTTTTGAGTTATTTTTTTAGAGTCAGTCCAAAGAATGTGTTCTTTTGCAATTTCAGTTTTGTTTGTTTGTTGTTTAACTAAGACCGCCATCGTTTAGCTGGAATATTGCTGAGTTTGGCGTTGAACAAGAAACAAACAAAACAAAAAGTTTTAGTCACTACAAAATTAAAAGTACTTGTAGCAATCTAGATGTGGTAAAGAAAACAACATAGAAATCTACTGAGAGAATTTCTACTGTAATGCTGCACTTTCATTGCCTTGTGAGTAAAGCATTATGATGTAAAACAACAACAGTTCAGCAGGACCCGTGAATATCCGGGGTAGAATAGGTCTTCAGCAACCCATGCTTGCCGTGAAAAGCGACTATGCACGTTGTAAGAGGCGACTATAACGGGATCACTGGGTCTGACTCGCTTACTTGGTTAAAGCATGTCATTGTATCCCAATTGTGTGGATCGATGCTCATGATGTCAATCACTGCATGGATTGTCTGGTTCAGCCTTGATTATTTACAGACCGCCGTCATATAGCTGGAATATTGCTGAGTGCGACATTAAACAACAAACAAGATAAAATGTTTGAGCAGATACAGCCATACGTAGTTTTAACGCTGATGTCAGTGTTTGTTTAATTCAGATCGTAAACTGTAACAATGGATTCAATATCTTCTCTAACTCCAAAGACTTCACATTATATTTTGTCATGGTAGAATGGAGATAAATATTTTGTATTTTTAGTGTACAGCAATGTTACTTGTAGATCAAACTACTAAGTTTTATGTTTGAAACCTCACGCTCTGTGTTTAATTCTAAATTCAGTTTAGCGCAGTTCAATATAATTATTAACCTAGCTATACATTGGAAAACAGTGTGTTTATCTCCTAATTCTTCCATGAATTTGGAAAATACTCAATTCTGATTGGTCAATCATAACTCTCAATTCAAAATAACCACCTGATTGAACAACTTCTTTGATGACTGATTACTGGGGAAGCTAATATTTATAGAAAAGTGCTTCTTATTCCATCCTTGTTGGTAGACTGTTAAATTTGAGGTACACTGAATACAATCACACATCTCTTTCCAGCTGTTCATTAACAATGAGTTTGTGGATGCGGCCAGTGGGAGAACCTTCCAGACCATCAACCCAGCCACAGGAGAGGCCATTTGTGACGTTGCTGAGGGGGACAAGGTGAGACTGCCTTATGATTTGGCAACACCTCAGCTGTTAAATTAAGCATTGTCCTTGCTCCAGTTGGATTTTATTTTCTATTTGGAGATCTTTATGTTTTTAAAAAAGTCCAGTGTCCCCACTGGCTTCCATTTGAAATTGCCAATCTGAGTGGACTGGCAACTAAAACTATTACGGTAATTTTTTTGCCAGTTCACAGGGACTGACAGTCACATGAATTACCGGTCCAAGCCAATTTTACCAGTAAAAAACTGGTAATTACCAGTAAGTGGGAACAGTGATAAGATAACTTTACTTGTGTGTCAAAATGTTGGTCTAATCATTGACATGCATTCAGTGTTAGATATGATGGCAGGTTCTTGTGTTTTTTTCTGCTGTAGAATCTGAATGGAGTATCCTTCTGTAACTGTTTTTTTTTTTTTTTGCTGACTCGACATTGTGCATTTGAATGACTCCAATTTGTCAACTACTTGCACAGGGGTAAATGTCAGAGACCTGCATCACTTTGGGCTTTCCTCCCACATTAATATGACATGCCGTGATATTTATGACTGCAATACTGTTTCTTGTCAGTCATCCCATTGGACAGTCGAAGTTGGCAAAAAGTCGGGCTGATGTGACCATAATTGGTTGTCCTCAAATTTTTGTTTAGTGGTAGTGAGAACTTAGATCTGATTTTAATGAGATTGTATAAAAATAAGTGCCTCAAAATGTTTAATAAAACCATGTATCCAGTTAATTTTGCTACAAGACCACTGGACCTTTGCCCTAAGTGTGACCTTATTTTGGTGTTGGTTTATACAGATAGTATGTGTCAAGGTGAAATATTTGTTAAGTCATGGACTGCCACCATGATCTAGTGGTAGAGTGTCCGGCCGGCTGGTCGGCTATCTCAGTTGGCTAGCACTATAAAATTGACATCAGTCCGCGCACACACGCAGCAATGTTCCACCTGAATGACAGCGGTCTGTAAATAATCAAATGATCGACATCATGAGCATCGATCCATGTAATTGGGATACAAGGACATGGATCAATCACTTCAACGAGACTGACCACCTGATAACGGTAGTCCTTCCTTTACGACAAGCATAGTCGCCTTTTACGGCAAGCATGGGTTGCTGAAGACCTATTCTTCACGGGTCTCACCTGTTATGTCATGCCCTCAGTGAATGCTAAGCAGGGACATACCCAAGGCCACCACTATGATAAAGCAGTAACCTGAGCTGGACTAATATGCTAATGGGCACTGACTGCAGGGTTTTACACCGCACACAAATGTTGAGATTGGACATAGAAAAAGAATATGCTGCGTCTGAGGGAATCACAGTGATATCCATTGTACCTACAGCATCAAGAGCAGTTATATGGTTCTGTCATTTCATCCATCAATCATGACCACTGTACACATGATCATTGATTCATTCCAGGCTGTGAAGTACTTATCAAAACTTACAGTACATGACAGTATTTAATTACTTTACAGAACCCTCATATTGCCAGCAGAGACCATAACATAGAGGGACGGACCTCCCCATCAGTTTCTCTTTAGCCATCAGTGCTATGGTCTGGCATGTAACTGATACACCCTTTTTAGTGTTGTTTGTTTATTTCATTGTTGTCTAAATACACAAATTCAGAAGTACCTTAGTCGTATTTACACTATCATCATGGTGTTTAGGCCCACATCAAGCAAGAGAAGCCAAAGAAAATTTAAGGACCGATGAGAGGAAAACATTTGTATGAAAGCATGCAAAAATTAAAAGTTGTGGTGTAATTATTACGGAAAAAAGCTCAGATTTAGTCACATTTCTGGAGTCAAAATCAGAAATTTCGTGACAATGATGTCTGCAGTGAACATGTAATATTGCTGAGTGAACTGACCATGCTTGTCTTAATAGGCAACTAAGTGGATCGGTTGAGACTTGATGATTTGGCTGACTGCCTTATTGTGACCCAATGGTTTGTCTGGTCCAGACTGGATTATAGGCCGACCACCATGATGAGGCTGTGTAATGTTCTCTCACTCCACAAATTAGCCTAGATTCTGTTTGAGGACTGCGTACATACAACCACACTTTCTTGAACACAGGCTGATGTGGATAGAGCAGTAAATGCAGCAAGGGAGGCGTTTCGTCTCGGTTCCCCCTGGCGACGACTGGATGCATCAGAAAGAGGACGCTTGTTGAACCGTCTTGCCGATCTCATCGAGAGAGATGCTGGATACATCGCGGTTGGTGACATACCTACTTGATTATTTACACTGGGACTTATAAATAAACTTGAAGTTGTTATAACCATCAAAGATAAATCAAGTCTGTATTTCGATATATATGACCATATTGCTTTGAGGTGCAAAGGGTTGCATCATCAAACAATATGTTATTAATGAAGGTTTCTGCTTAGTAATTAGTAAAACTAAGAATTTAACTTTTTAGAGATAATGTGTTAATGATGTCATCGTAGGAGATTTGATGTTGCTTTTTGGAAGTTTTATTATGTCCGCCTGTCTTGGCAGTCCCTGGAGACGCTCGACAACGGAAAGCCGTACCAAGTGGCCTTTGCAGCTGACCTTCAGCTTGTACAGAAGTGCTACAGGTAGGATCCATTTTATAAGCTGAGCCAAAGACATTGTTGACCGCCTCCATGGTCACACACACACACAGACATGCACGCATGTTGCTATATAAATGCAATAATCTTGGACGCGACATTAAACCCCATTTTAGCACACCTCACCAAACACATTGTTGTGATTATGAATAGGGAAGGCGGGCAGACAGGCAGGCAGAATTCTTTGGAGTTTATTATGCAAACCCTTCAGGGGACTAGATTCAGGTTATAATATGTATCTTGAAGTAGTGTTTGGTTTATCACAAACAGTGTGTACTTAATTGAACATAAGTTTGGCACCTTAAGTTAGGTGAATTTGGTTTTCAAAACAGCTTTACATTTTGGGCTTGTATCTCTAAATGCCAGCATCAGAAAACAAAACCCTTTGTCCAAGCACCCTGCCTAGACTAACATATAGTCTATGGAATCTTATATTCCACAATACACTTCTCTCCTCTGAACCAATACTATTTCTGATGCTGATGTGGAATAGAGCTGGCTAGAGCTGGCTAGACTTGCATATCTAGATTAGTTTTGTTTTCATGAAATAAATATGTTCCCCATTCATGGTGCTCCTGACTAACTTCTTGACTAGTATGCAAGCAGGGTTAGAAATTGGCACTAGTCCTATATAGTCCTTGCCAAACTGCCCAATGGTAAAGGTATCATAAGGACTAGTAGAAAATTGCCATTTTTAAAGGTTTTGCTATATGTTATCAACTTATCATTATAAAGACTAGTGGACGAAAAACTGTTAGTTTCTAACGCTGGCAAGTAATCTTTATGAGCACATTTTCTTGCATATAATACACATTTTTTGCTGAAATGCAGTTGTGCAGGAGGGAGGGTGTGACATACATGCCGACATTGAAATTTGACGTAGTTTTCAAAGCAAAAACATAACCCTGAACATGTTCCCACTGGGAAGAGACTGTGGGCATATCTCAGCAGGTCACCCTGACTCAGGGCAAGTTACAGCAGCACTGACAACACCTGAATTGCCACGATCTGACATGACCTGGGTCATGGTCATCATTTGTAAACAGTCGCTTTGTTTCCCATTATGTGATCACGTGTCACAAAGGTAAAACATATTGATATGATTCCTATTTCACACACAACAATATACATTACACATAAAAACAGATGAAGTGTTCGATTTACTTTTATTTATTGGAAAATTCTATATTTATAGATGCAAATTTCAAAATACAAAACTTATTTTCATGGTTATAAAAAGGAAGCTTTTTCACAATACCAATTGAAAAAGATATTGCTTTCAGGACAGATAATCAGCAGAAGTTCTATGAAGCTTGGGTGCGGCGTCATAAACATTTCGAAAATGAGGAGCAACTTTCATTTTAAGTTTGGTTTTATAATTAAGACATAAATATTAGAGACTGTGTACTTTCCAGCACTGCAAATGATATATAAGCTTTAATAGTTTATGCATGCATACTTGATATACCGTATTCGACATAATAAGCGCCCAGGGCGCTCTCAAAATTAGAAATAGGGAGCTCTTATTAGAATATTATCTTGGTGAAAAACAACAGAGTTGAAAGATCGTAAATTTCGTGGTTCATGCTGACAGCCTGAAATGTTTTTATACGACAGATATGTTTTTCCAGAATTTAATTTCACATAATTAAGGATGCATATAACACATGTATTATGCAAGAATAAATACGTCTTGTGTACATTGATCAATCAGAAGGGGTGCTAATTGGGATGGTTCACTAGCCAATATATTAGCAAATATCGCAATGGGCGCTTATTAGAGCGAGGCGCTTATTACGTTGAATACGGTATGCAGTATATTTGTATTACTAGCGTGAATGTGTGAGTGAGAAGTATGTGACTGAGGATGTACTGATAAGTTGTGATATATGTCACAGGCTCTCTGCCACCCTGGGCGGAAGCCCATGGTATGTAACAGGTACTTCTTTATATAGACAATAAAAGAAAAAAACATTCAAAAACAACAACAAAAAACAATACATATTACATCATTCAAGTAATGATTACAGGTGTGGGAAATGCTATTACAATTGTCAGTCTCCTTGTCTAGTGAAATGTTTTTGCAAAAGTTGTAGTTTCATTAATGTTTGAACTAAGTTTGTTCTTTCCCAGTCCATCTCGGACATCGTTGTGTTGTTTTACTCAGCAGTCAAGTGCCCAGGGTGCTTAGTGGCAAGTATGGTAAATGTTTCGGATTTGAAGGTTTTGTAGAGTATGTAATTTGTAACAACAACGTGATCATAGGGGTATGGAATATTCAGTAACAGCCCCGTATCTGAAAACAGATAAAGCTTATCTATTGATGTAAGTACATCTCTGGGAAGATAAATCATACTGAAATCTGTCATGGCTGACTTCCTTCAGTAACTGTAGGAATGGCCATTGTCTGTGGAGGGTTCACCGATGGAGCGAGGCTATTGACGGGCGTTTGTGGGCAGGCTAACCCCTTTCATACTGTTATCTCCATTATCTCCTATAGAGCCCATAACAACATAGGTTGTCTCAGGGTCAGTCTCCTGACAAAACATACTGTGACAGGTCAATGCAGCGTCACTCATCAATTTGTCATACCCCTTGATATTGAACATACCCTGACATAAACTATCGCCAGTACCCACGGGGCATAAAGTAGGTCCCCAGTACCCACGGGGCATAAACTAGGTTCCCCAGTACCCACGGGCATAAACTAGGTTCCCCAGTACCCACGGGGCATAAACTAGGTTCCCCAGTACCCACGGGGCATAAACTAGGTTCCCCAGTACCCACGGGGCATAAACTAGGGTCCCCAGTACCCACGGGGCATAAACTAGGTTCCCCAGTACCCCGGGGCATAAACTGGACCCCAAGTCCCCACAGGGCATAAACTAGGTCCCCAAGTCCCCACAGGGCATAAACTAGGTCCCCAGTACCCACAGGGCATAAACTAGGTCCTCAGTACCCACGGGGCATAAACTAGGTTCCCCAGTACCCACGGGGCATAAACTAGGTCCCCAGTACCCACGGGGCATAAACTAGGTTCCCCAGTACCCACAGGGCATAAACTAGGTTCCCCAGTACCCATGGGCATAAACTAGGTTCCCCAGTACCCACAGAGCATAAACTAGGTCCCCAGTACCCACGGGGCATAAACTAGGTTCCCCAGTACCCCGGGGCATAAACTGGACCCCAAGTCCCCACGGGGCATAAACTAGGTCGCCAGCACCACTTCGGCATAAACAAGGTCACCCAGAACCCCCGGGGCATAAACTAGGTTGCGAGGCCCCCTCCCCAGTACCCACGGGGCATAAACTAGGTCGCCAGTACCCCGGGGCATCAACTTGGTCACCAGTACCCCTGGGGCATCAACTAGGTCGCCAGTACCCCTGGGGCATCAACTAGGTCACCAGTACCCCTGGGGCATCAACTAGGTCGCTAGTTCCCCCTGGGCTTAAACTAGGTCGCCAGTCCCCCCTGGGCATCAACTTGGTCCTTAGTTGTGAGTACCCCACTGTTTGCAGTTTTAACACTTGGCATGATTGGAGACTACCTATTACACAAATATCACGACATCAATCTAATGTTGTCCGTTGTATAACGATGCCGTTGTTGCAGGTACTATGCAGGATGGGCCAACAAGTACCACGGGAAAACTATTCCTATTGGTGAGTATATATGCAGGTGGAACGTTAACAAGATTTACAAAATTATTTTTATTAATGGTATGCGACGGTAACAGTGTGTGAAACTCAGAGCCTTAAGGGCCAGCACATTTAAAAAAAATGAAGACTCAGTGAAAAAAACTGTAGGTCCAAACATATTAGCTGAAGCAGGGAGACGTACTCTTGCAGTATAAATAAAAAAAACACAACCAGTCAACCAGAAGCTTTTACTCCTATCACACCAAGTTCAAGGAGACTCAGCGGTGATAGATGAAGCCTACATTTATCAGGAAATTATCAGCTTGTAAAACATCTTTGCGACTACATGTCATGCACATTTTAAAAGGTCTAATCCTACTGTTGATGAATATGAAAGTTATGTTTCTCACATTATTTAAAACATGCTTAATAAATATTTGCTGAAATAAACTACAGGCAGTAAGGGCCTGCTGGAATTTAGAACTATCAGCCCGAGAACAAATCTTTCAGCCTTGGGCCTATTTCAAACACTGGATGGTAAAATGAAATAACTCATGGTTGTGCAGTAATCCAGGCCTTTATTTCCTTGGTAAAGTGGGCAGTCGGGGAGCCGAGTGGTTAAAGCGTTCGTTCGTCGCGCCGAAGACCCAGGTTTGATTCCGGACATGGGTACGATGTGTGAAGCCCATTTCTGGTGTCCCCCGCCGTCATATTGCTGGAATAATGCTAAACATGCTAAAAGCGGCGTTAACCCATACTCACTCACTCACCTTGGTAAAGTAGGTTACTGTGATTGACATATAATTGTTTGATTGCCAGATGGTGATTTCTTCACCTACACCCGGCATGAGCCTGTTGGAGTTTGTGGGCAGATCATTCCGGTGAGTAGCAGCCAGAACCTGGCCTTATCTATCTGGGTTGTTCCACATATCAATCAGCAGGTTTTCACTCCCTTGCCCTACCTTTTCCTCATCCCTTCACAAGTGGTTGTATCATGGCCTGATGATGCATACTTCAAACATGTTAGGCTTTTTTTACACGACTCACAAATGTTGATATTGGACGCAGAAGAAGAATATACTGTGTCCCATGGGGCTCGCAAGAATATACATTGTGACTACAGCGCATCAAGACCAGTTTTGGATGTCAGTCATTTCATCCATCAATCATGACCACTGTCAACATGATCGTTGATTCATTCCAGGTTTTGAAGTAATTATCACAACTTACAGTACACCTCATCATATCATTGCTTTACAGAATCCTCATATTGCCAGCAAGGACACTTAAAATAAATTACTTGGGTCCCCTTGACCCCTGCTTTTGTAAGTCAAGGTAAAGCCCTGTTAAACATATATATATATATATATACACACACAGCGGAAAGTACCACTTCAACAGCCACCCATTTTGTGTGTGTGTGTGTGTGTGTGTGTGTGTGTGTGTGTGTGTGTGTGTGTGTGTGTGTGTGTGTGTGTGTGTGTGTGTGTGTGTGTGTGTGTGTGTGTGTGTGTGTGTGTGTGTGTGTGTTGACATATCATGGGTGTCTGTTGAAGTGGTACTTCCCGCTGTTGCTAAGGCTAATTACATTTGGTGACTGTTGGGTGTCTGTTGAAGTGGAACTTCCTGCTGTTGCGAAGGCTAATTACATTTGGTGACTGTTGGGTGTCTGTTGCAGTGGAACTTCCCACTGTTGATGCAGGCCTGGAAGCTGGGCCCGGCACTGGCGATGGGCAACGTTGTGGTGATGAAGACAGCTGAGCAGACCCCTCTATCAGCACTGTATGTGGCTCAGCTGGCTAAAGAGGTAGGGATGCTCATTCACAGGCTCTATTTCAACTTTCAAGATCTGTGAACGTATTTACAAAACACCATATCAATGAATATACACATGATTTAAAGAAGTGTATTGGTACATTTGATCAACTCACTATCAAGAGTTGCATCCCTTTGTCATGACAGCATCCTATGGTCAATGGTTTGAATCCCAGGTTTGCCCTGATTATGATTTCTGGTTTGTCAGCACCACAACTGTGCTTGTGGATTTCATCAAAATTGTTTGTCTAAGACCTGCATCACTTGTGCTTTCCTCTCATATGAATAAAATACTGTTCAAATGGGTGTTTCGGCCTGTGAAGATCCGGGGTAAAATAGGTCTTCAGCAACCCATGCTTGGGCGACTGCTTGTCGTAAGAAGTGAATAACGGGATCGGGTGTTGAGGCTCACTGACTTGGTTGATGCATGTCATCGCAGCCCAATTGCGTGTATTGATGCTCATGCACGATTACTTACAGACCGCCGTCATATAGCTGGAATATTGCTGAGTGCGGCGTTAAACAACAAACAAACAAACAAACTCATTCAATCACTGCAGTGTTCTGTAGATTGTATTCTGCCTGTGTTAATGGCGATGAACTCAAGGAGGTGTCCAAGGTAGAAAGGTGCCCAGTCACGTGACAAGATTGGGGTCGGCTGGTCGGGCTTTGTCTTGACTATTGCATGGCATTGTACTCCGATGATCAATGCTTATGCTTTCAGTCATTGGTTTGCCTGGTCATGAGTAGATTATTACTGGCCAAATTGAGTTGGTTGTTGCATTAAACAACATTCATTCATTTATTCATGAGGATCACAAAATGTCAACACAAATAAACACACGTTTGACAGTGTAATTATATGTCAACATATATTCTTGTATCGTGTAGGCGGGCTTCCCTCCGGGGGTGATCAACATTGTCTCTGGGTTTGGTCCGACTGCGGGAGCAGCCATTGCAGAGCACATGGATGTTGACAAAGTTGCCTTCACTGGGTCTACAGAGGTGAGCAGATGGAAACGGCGTAACTATGGCAACATTTTCTGAGGATTGTAATGATTCTGTAATCATGATGCATCAACTTACACAGTGTGTATGAAGGAGAAACCCTTGAAGATAGAATAGGTCTTCAGCAACCCATGCTTGGCGTAAAAGGTGACTATGCTTGTTGTAAGGGGCAACTAACAGGATCGGGTGGTCAGGCTCCCTGACTTGGTTGATGCATGTCATCGTGTCCCAATTGCGTGCATTGATGCTCATAATATCAATCACTGGATTGTCTGGTCCAGACTCATTTATTTACAGACCGCCGTCATATAGCTGGAATCTTGCTGAGTGTGGTGTTAAACAACAAACAGAAAATTGTGAAAGAGAAGACACTTTGTGATGTCAAATATTTCCTGTGTTGGTGAATGACAGGATAAGATTTACAGTTTATACTATATTTCCCCCTTAACAACTTCTAGACTTAATCTTTGTAAGTGGCCCATACTAAGCTCTCAGCGGCACACGACACTGCTTGTTTTCGTGTGTATATTTTCAGGGTACACACACAGTTGTGTAGAAGGGGTGCATAATATACATGCACGTGTTGAGTTTTGATGTCTTACCCAAAGTGAACATATTACTGCTGGCGTGTTAACGCTGGGATTGGTGTGTCAACAAACTCATTGTGAATGGTTTTAATAAATGTACCCCCTTCGTCAATTTCCTAAGCACCCAGGATGCTTATTGTGGCGAATATGGTACACACAAATAGGAATGAAATAAATGTAAACCCAAATAGCATGATTTCAAATGGGTTTCGTGCTTCTCATAGGATCTGAACTAAATGCCCAGATTTATTGAGTATAGATTTGTTAAGGATAGATTTGTCAAGGATAGTTTTGTCAAGGATAAATTTGTCAAGGATAGACTTGTCAAGGATAGACTTGTCAAGGATAGATTTGTCAAGGATAGATTTGTCAAGGATAGACTTGTAAAGGATAGATTTGACAAGGATAGACTTGTTAAGGATAGACTTGTCAAGGATAGATTTGACAAGGATAGACTTGTCAAGGATAGATTTGACAAGGATAGACTTGTTAAGGATAGACTTGTCAAGGATAGATTTGTCAAGGATAGATTTGACAAGGATAGACTTGTTAAGGATAGATTTGTCAAGGATAGACTTGACAAGGATAGATTTGTCAAGGATAGACTTGTCAAGGATAGATTTGTCAAGGATAGTTTTGCTGTTTGTTTCTTGTGTCTAGCGCCGGTGAATGTTTAACAAAGTTGTAATTGTGGTATTAAACTGTTGTATGTCAGTATTTACATTACCTCAAGAATGAAAGAAGATTTTGATTACCTTTAAGAAAATGTACAACTTTAAGGATAACAAATTCTGGTTTATTGCATATTTCTTACATGGTTATCAAGCTACTACTTTTATTAATTACTATTCTTTAATCCTGTAGATAACCATTTTCTTGCCTTTCACAAAAATATGTATGGTGTCTTTTAAGACCTTTCCACAATAAACATGCTAAACAAACGCGTTGGCAGCAAAGATCGTCGACAATAACAAAAAGCGCTCTAGTTGTGTGTGGTTATGTTGTGTCTGCCTAACTGGGTCAAGGATGTGGTGAACAAAAGTATCCAATGGCATTGAGCCAAAAAATCAAGTACTGAAGTACTTAATTGCACCAGATTTGGAGGCGGGGGGGGGGGGGGGGGATTTCAGTGGCTCGTGTTATATGTTGAGATGCATTACAGGAATGTGGCTGTGGCTTGGTCATACATAGTTGTTGGCTTGTACAGCTCTGCAGTGGAATGTTGAAACTTGAAACACCCTCAACATAGTCTTCTAGGACCTGCTAGGGTGTCTGCCAGCTGACATACTTACTCTAGCAAGAGTTTTTTAGTTTTAAGAGACAATTTGAAAATAAAAACCTGAAAAGCTTAGGTTTCAATCTAAGAGTTGTCGATTGTTTTGTCACAGCTGATTAACAAGAAAAATAATAGGTTGAACTAGGTATATAAGTAGCTCACAACTAGATTTAAGTATGATAATTGAGTTTTTGTTGAATTTGTTCTGTACCAACATTCAATCACTTCGGGCTTTCCTCCCACATTAATCTGTCTCCCCTTGATAAACATGGAATATTGTTCAAAGCAGCATTAGATCACTCACTCACTCACTCACTCACTCACTCACTCACTCACTCACTCACTCACTCACTCACTCACTCACTCACTCACTCACTCACTCACTCACTCACTGTTCAAACATTTATAGTAATGCTGTCATTGATATGAACAATGTAGTCCTGACCTCCATGACAAATTCAGTACAAACCTTCCTATAGAAATACATGGGTGCTTGTTTGGAGTCTGTTTTGTAGTTGTGCAAATGGTAAACATTAAGTTAGTTTATTTTGTAAGAATTCATATCCATGCTTTTTAAATCTTTACATTCATCTGATTCACACACTACATGTCTCCCAATGCATCCACGTTGAATATCTGTGTGCACTCACAGTACAGAACAGCGAACCTAGTACTGCATGGATCACTGCTCTTGTGTGTCTGCTGACGTAATGCCATGATTACATAGAGCAATGTCTTTTCACTGTTGTTATCTTTGCACCAAAGAACCAGGTGCAACAGCACAAGGCTGTTAGTAATGTCCCAGATAATGTGGTCTGATATTAGTACTTCAACTGAGTAATCGCCATGCACATGGCCCACTGTATGGTTGGGATAGGAAGAAATCATCTTCAGCTTTGCATTTTATCACCTAAAACCCTCAATCCGTAAACTTTCTTATCACAAGCTGGAACAAGTAATTGATTATTTAGTTTTGTAGATGTGACCAGTTGAATAACTAGTATCGTAGGCAGTTTGGCAGAGTATAGGTTTTAACAGGGAGTGTATATATATGTCTTATATATTCCCTGAGTTAAATAAGTTAAAAATATATAGATAAATATTCACAGCGCTGCCCAATACAAATTATAACAGCAGCTGGGCTATTATTACTATGGCCAACAGCTCGGAGTCATATGCAGGTCAGTGGCTCGAATGGCTGGGTGGCCATTGTGGATGAGGTGCGGGATACTGCAGGCTGACCAGAGAGGTATCGTAGTCGATACGTGGCAGCTGGTCAGTGATTTCACTGGTTAAAATTAGAATACTTTCTGTTACTCGGGACTTGACCTTCGGACAGCGGATAGGCAGGTTGGCTCTCTGACGCCTCTGATATGCTGCCTGGCCATGTCTGTCCCATTACCACAATCGTGATTATACAGAATTATTATATCACAAATAAAGTGTTGTGGACCCATGAATGGACTCCTGTGTTTGAAGAAGGACAGATATCCCAAACCTAACAGCCCGGGATACTAGTCTAAATTCACTTTCAACAAAATTAGTAATGTATTTCAGTTTTGTGTATTTGTATAACTTGGTTCAAACTATTGTAATGATTCGGCCCAAATTGTAATGGTAGGCACCTCTGATACAGTGTTAGAAGCCAGATGTTGGTGTCTCCTGTTGAAACCCAACTCACTCTCTCTCACTCACTTTAGCCTAAGAAACTGATACTCTACATAAAGAAGTCAATGGAATAGGAATGTGTAGCTCTGTCCTTTGTCTAGGCTGCATATGCATGCTCTATATGTCAGGTGATCTCGTGTTTGAGGGTCGTCTCTTGTTTGAGCCAAGGTGTCCTCTTGTTTAGAAGATAGGGTGTCCTCTTGTTTATGTGTTAGGGTGTCCTCTTGTTTATGAGTCAGGGTGTCCTCTTGTTTATGAGCTAAGGGCATCAGAGCGCTGGACAAACCTGCATTCAAATGTAAAACATATTTAGATTTTCCAAAGTTAATTCAAAGGTTCATTGAGTCGACGTAATCAAGTGTGAGCTGGTCGGCAGATTGCACTAATTCACTGTTGTGTGCAGCAACCATTCAGGGTACCACTCTGGTGATATTGACAGCTTGAAAGAACCTTAGTTGTCAGGGAATGGATACATCATGATTTTGGTTTGTTTGTTTGTTGTTTAACACCTTTTATGGCAAGCATGGGTTGCTGAAGACCTATGATACTTTGACATAAGTGACATGCCTCGTAACAAGTCAAGGATGATGTTATTTCACTTACTGTGTCAATACATAGTGTATGTTATGTCACTATTGCCATAGCAAGAACATTCAGGGGTGTTCAATTAGTCTGCCAGACTTGCCCTTCCTGTGAAAATAAAGTGCTTGGCAATTGGGAAAATAAAATTTAGTTCCCTTCAGGCAAGTATGAAAGTTGATGTTATTAACTTTAAAACTTTAAAACTAATAGTACCTGATTAGGTTTTTTTTATGTCCAATTAACTGTGGCTTCAGTTAAGTAAAGTTTGTTGTTAAAATTAAATTTTCTTTCATGTCTCTGATTTAGAAGGGCAAGTTGTAAAATAGGCTGGGCAAGTAGAAAACTTTGGTATTTTAACACGTCATGATCACTGATTAGTTGACCTCAAACGATGACTCTTAAGACAGTTCTCACAAATTTAGAAACTTGCTAATATACCAGACTGCTTAACTTAGGATTCTTTTCTGTTTTTTTTATGTATTGCAAAAGCACCAATGAAAAGAACTTGTTATTTATATATTATTCCTGTACAACCATTGTATAAGATTTAAGTTTTTCCGATTATTGCATTCATCACTGGTAAAGGAGGGTGGGAATGCTTGTGCAAGAATGATTTTCCAGTGAATATCGTGATGCTTGTCAACAATCTCATGTTATAATATCGTCATCACTCAGTTTACAATCACATCATTAGTGATGAATTCCTCATAGCCTTAATTTGTTATTACTGCTATTGACGCCTTGAAAAGAACTTTAGTGGATAGATAATGGATATATATATCATAAATGCCATACATTGACTCGCTGCAAGTCATATTTATTGTAGTTTGACTACTATATGTCAACATAAAGTTTTTGATATTGTGAGCATGGGAGCATTGACGGTGATTGGTCAAATTGTTCCATACAACAAAATATCCGTCAATAGCGATCAGCTCTACCAAAGTGCTATTGCTTATTAATTTATTTCAAATATATATGGTAAAGCTGAACTAAAAGAACATGATATTGGAATAAATTATTCCTGATAAAATCATAGTTTCAGATACTATTATCCTCCTATCATTGTATCAAAATTCTTTAAAGTTATATTGGGGGGTAATTTTTAACCAAATCACCGGTATATTCCGAGAAACATGTGTCCAGCTGATTGCTACTTCCGGGTTAGTTTACGAGAAAATACACATGGTAATCTTAATCTCTCCACATAAAACAATGCCTATCAGAACAGGAAATACAATTTAATTGGTAAATCATCATGTCTAGTGTGGGTTTTTTTATCCCAAAATTTTAAATTTGTCTTGGCCAAGTTTAATTGTTATGATCTGTTCGTTTCCTTGAATTAGCTGAAGGCATACAATGTGATTTATGTTTCTGTGGAAGACATACACGTTTTAATTGCAAATGTAGGGATTGTGTATGTGCTGGTGATGTGCTTCCTTCCGATTCGCTTTATAGACAGGGTATATAAATTAGCATCGATTTTGAAGGCTTGTACAGGTGGGTCGTCATATACTTGGGGTCGCTTTATAGATGGTGATATACAGTATGTCGATCAACACGGTTGATTTGTCTCTACTGGAGTTTTGGGGATTTGCTATACGTCATAAATTGGGGTCTTTTGGGTCCAAGGGGGAGTTAACATCAGTTTGCTATACGTCATAAATTGGGGTCTTTTGGGCCCAAGGGGGAGTTAAAGTCAGTTTGCTATTCCGTCAGAACAGTGATTCACATGATTTTATATATAAGTGTATAGAGATGCATTTGGGAGTTTGTTCCCTACATCCATGTTATTAATGAATGTGTTCTGCAGCAATTGTTGACATGACCCTTATCTTCCGCCAGGTTGGGAAACTGATCCCACAGATGGCGGGACGCTCCAACCTGAAGAGAGTGACCCTCGAACTTGGCGGCAAGTCTCCAAACATCATCCTAGCTGATGCTAATAGTGAGTTGTGTCCCTTTGATGTTGAAGAGCACGTTTAAATAACATATGCCAAGTTTCAGTAACTAAATGATAGGGGCTCCAGGGCTCAGTTGTCAAAGTGCCAGTATTCCCTGTGCAGAGTTGTGTCCCTTAGTTGATGCCAGATTCACCGTACCCATGGTGATAAACCTGCGCTAGAGTTGGAGTGTTGCTGATTGCAGCGTAAACCATTAACTGACTCCTTAATAAGGATTCAGAGTGTGAATGACATAATCTTGTAGGGCTGGCTATCAATATAGATCTTAGAGATCGATCAATTATCAATAGGCGTATATATAGGAGAAGTAACTTTGAGCAAATACACACATATAAAGTCCAGAAGAAATCAACATATCACTGGTGAGTAGTGGCATATTTATGCATGGATTACTTTGTGGACATTTAAGATTTACAAAAACAGTTGCTTTCCGTCTCTGGCAGTTGATATGATTGACAATAACAAGTCTGTTTCAGTAAATTTATCCATAACACAATTTTCTTATCAATGATCATAATATTCCTTCCCAACAACATTAATTCCAGTTATCAATCTTTTTTGCCATCCCTATAATCTTGCATCTCCCTGTGTTCAGTGGCAGAGGCAGTCGAGCAGGCCCACTTCAGCCTTTTCTTCAACCAGGGTCAGTGCTGCTGTGCAGGGACAAGGACGTTTGTGGAAGAGAAGGTGTACGATGAGTTCGTGGAACGCAGTGTGGAGCGGGCCAAAAACAGAACTGTTGGCAACCCCTTCGATAATGTGGAACAGGGACCTCAGGTAAACCCCTTTGATAATGTGGAACAGGGACCTCAGGTAAACCCCTTCGATAATGTGGAACAGGGACCTCAGGTAAACCCCTTCGATAATGTGGAACAGGGACCTCAGGTAAACCCCTTCGATAATGTGGAACAGGGACCTCAGGTAAACCCCTTCGATAATGTGGAACAGGGACCTCAGGTAAACCCCTTCGATAATGTGGAACAGGGACCTCAGGTAAACCCCTTTGATAATGTGGAACAGGGACCTCAGGTAAACCCCTTCGATAATTTGGAACAGGGACCTCAGGTAAACCCCTTTGATAATGTGGAACAGGGACCTCAGGTAAACCCCTACGATAATGTGGAACAGGGACCTCAGGTAAACCCCTTCGATAATGTGGAACAAGGACTTCAGTGCTAGCATGTCCTGTACGTTCTATAGGAGTAGAGCTAGTCAGCCCTGCTAGCATGTCCTGTATGTTCTACAGGAGTAGAGCCAGTAAGCCCTGCTAGCATGTCCTGTATGTTCTACAGGAGTAGAGCCAGTCAGCCCTGCTAGCATGTCCTGTATGTCCTACAGGAGTAGAGCCAGTCAGCCCTGCTAGCATGTCCTGTATGTCCTACAGGAGTAGAGCCAGTCAGCCCTGCTAGCATGTCCTGTATGTCCTACAGGAGTAGAGCCAGTCAGCCCTGCTAGCATGTCCTGTATGTCCTACAGGAGTAGAGCCAGTCAGCCCTGCTAGCATGTCCTGTATGTCCTACAGGAGTAGAGCCAGTCAGCCCTGCTAGCATGTCCTGTATGTCCTACAGGAGTAGAGCCAGTCAGCCCTGCTAGCATGTCCTGTATGTCCTACAGGAGTAGAGCCAGTCAGCCCTGCTAGCATGTCCTGTATGTCCTACAGGAGTAGAGCCAGTCAGCCCTGCTAGCATGTCCTGTACGTCCTTCAGGAGTAGAGCCAGTCAGCCCTGTTAGCATGTCCTGTATGTCCTACAGGAGTAGAGCCAGTCAGCCCTGCTAGCATGTCCTGTACGTTCTACAGGAGTAGAGCCAGTCAGCCCTGCTAGCATGTCCTGTATGTCCTACAGGAGTAGAGCCAGTCAGCCCTGCTAGCATGTCCTGTATGTCCTACAGGAGTAGAGCCAGTCAGCCCTGCTAGCATGTCCTGTATGTCCTACAGGAGTAGAGCCAGTCAGCCCTGCTAGCATGTCCAGTACATCCGTGATTGTTCCAGGTGGATGAGGAGCAGATGGGGAAGATTCTGAGTCTGATCGACAGCGGAAGGAAGGAGGGAGCCACACTGTGTGTCGGGGGCAACCGGGTCGGAGATCGGGGCTACTTCGTGGAGCCAACCGTCTTCAAGGATGTGAAGGACAACATGAAAATAGCCAGGGAAGAGGTGGGTGTTGTGTGTACATTGTGTGTGGGTGGATGTGTTGGGGAGGGTGGGTGTGTTGGGGAGGGTGGGTGTGTTTAGATGTGTGGATGTGTTGGGGAGGGTGGGTGGATGTGTTGGGGAGGGTAGGTGTGTTGGGGAGGGTAGGTGTGTTGGGGAGGGTAGGTGTGTTGGGGAGGGTAGATGTGTTGGGGAGGGTAGGTGTGTTGGGGAGGGTAGATGTGTTGGGGAGGGAAGGTGGTTGTGTTGGGGAGGGTGGGTGTGTTGGGGAGGGTGGGTGGATGTGTTGGGGAGGGTAGATGTGTTGGGGAGGGAAGGTGGTTGTGTTGGGGAGGGTGGGTGTGTTGGGGAGGGTGGGTGGATGTGTTGGGGAGGGTAGATGTGTTGGGGAGGGTGGGTGTGTTGGGGAGGGAAGGTGGTTGTGTTGGGGAGGGTGGGTGTGTTGGGGAGGGTGGGTGGATGTGTTGGGGAGGGTAGGTGTGTTGGGGAGGGAAGGTGGTTGTGTTGGGGAGGGTAGGTGTGTTGGGGTGGGTGGATGTGTTGGGGAGGGTAGGTGTGTTGGGGAGGGTAGGTGTGTTGGGGAGGGTAGATGTGTTGGGGAGGGTAGGTGTGTTGGGGAGGGTAGATGTGTTGGGGAGGGTGGGTGTGTTGGGGAGGGAAGGTGGTTGTGTTGGGGAGGGTGGGTGTGTTGGGGAGGGTGGGTGGATGTGTTGGGGAGGGTAGATGTGTTGGGGAGGGTAGGTGTGTTGGGGAGGGTGGATGTGTTGGGGAGGGTGGGTGTGTTGGGGAGGGAAGGTGGTTGTGTTGGGGAGGGTGGGTGTGTTGGGATGTGTGGATGTATTGGGGAGGGTGGGTGTGTTGGGGAGGGTGGGTGTGTTGGGATGTGTGCATGTGTTGGGGAGGGTGGGTGTGTTGGGGAGGGTGGGTAGATGTGTTGGGGAGGGTAGGTGTGTTGGGGAGGGTGGGTGGATGTGTTGGGGAGGTTAGATGTGTTGGGGAGGGTAGGTGTGTTGGGGAGGGTGGGTGGATGTGTTGGGGAGGGTGGGTGGATGTGTTGGGGAGGGTAGATGTGTTGGGGAGGGTGGGTGGATGTGTTGGGGAGGGTGGGTGGATGTGTTGGGGAGGGTGGATGTGTTGGGGAGGGTAGATGTGTTGGGGAGGGTGGGTGGATGTGTTGGGGAGGGTAGGTGTGTTGGGGAGGGTGGGTGGATGTGTTGGGGAGGGTAGATGTGTTGGGGAGGGTAGGTGTGTTGGGGAGGGTGGGTGGATGTGTTGGGGAGGGAGGGTGGGTGTGTTGGGGAGGGTGGGTGGATGTGTTGGGGAGGGTAGATGTGTTGGGGAGGGTGGGTGTGTTGGGGAGGGTGGGTGTGTTGGGGAGGGAAGGTGGTTGTGTTGGGGAGGGTGGGTGTGTTGGGGAGGGTGGGTGTGTTGGGGAGGGTGGGTGTGTTGGGGAGGGAAGGTGGTTGTGTTTGGGAGGGTGGGTGTGTTGGGGAGGGTGGGTGTGTTGGGGAGGGTGGGTGTGTTGGGATGTGTGCATGTGTTGGGGAGGGTGGGTGTGTTGGGGAGGGTGGGTGGATGTGTTGGGGAGGGTAGGTGTGTTGGGGAGGGAGGGTGGGTGTGTTGGGATGTGTTGATGTGTTTGGGAGGGTGGATGTGTGGATGTGTTGGGAAGGGTTGGTGGATGTGTTGGGGAGACCCTTAGGGTGTTTGGGGGAACATTTTGAAGGAGGGGCGCTTTGTCAACGTGTGTTGGGGGTAGTTGCAATGTTAAGGTCTGGTGTGCTTATAGTTTTTCATTTGTCAACATTACTGGCCAGATTGATCAAGTGGGATCCTTTACTTTGATCACATCACATGGTGCATCCTTTAATCTAATATGTGCTCTACCAGTCTATATATGTTCTCATGTTCTTCAATCACAAATGGTTAGTTACAGTGATTCTCCTAACTTGTCAAATACAGTATGTGGTTCATGCTATGTTATGTATTCCCTGGTGGCGGCTAGATCTTCGGACCAGTGATGCAGATCCTGAAGTTCAAGAACGTGGATGAGCTGATCGAGCGTGCCAACGACTCGGAGTATGGTCTGGCTGCTGGTGTCATGTCCCAGGACATCGACCGGGTCATGTACATCGCCAACAGTCTGAGAGCTGGAACTGTGTGGTAAGGGCGTGGACTGTGAGTGAGTGAGTGAGTGAACGGGAACGGGAACATAGTCCACAGTATTACAACTAAATCATAACAGCCTGTGAATTATTGAGTGTGCCATCTGGACCATTTCTATTTGAAGAACCTACATAGATGAACATGGATGTATGGACACAGGACGAACTTCTCCATGCCATGACAAGACGTTGGTAAATGGTTAAACTGGAGGAATTCCCTTTCATTGGAATTCTCCACTTTAGGAATTCATCTTCTATGATAAGAATTTGAAATTTGAATATCTATGAAATGACAGTATTTGTTGCATGTATTTTCCAGCTTATAGTCTTGTAAAGCCTGGGCCCTGTGCGACGAAGCAGTGGTTGCGCTATGTTTGTTGTAAATCTATGTTAAAGTGTGGGCGTTACAATCATCGTAGTGCAAAGATCTCTTTATGGCACGGGGCCGAGACTGTTTGGTAGGTTTGAATTGAGTGAGTGAGTTGGGTTTAACGACGCTTTTAACAGTATTCCAGTTATATCACGGCGTGTCAGCTTCGAGGAAAGCCCAAAGTGATGCAGGTCTCAGACGTTTACCAGTTTGGTGAAACCCACGAGCACATTTATGGTGCTGACAAACCTAGAAACATAATCAGGGGGAACCAGGATACGAACCCACAATCATAGGTTTCTGGCGTGCCAAAGGGACGTAACTCAGCACAGCGAATCGCGGCGCCTTTGACAACTAGGCCACCCGTAGGTTTGAAATTCAAAAAGGTTTCTTGTTTGCTTCTTCAATAATCAGTATGAATACTTGTCCATGTGGGAAGTGTTAGTTCTTCCGGTCTGTTTTCAGTTTATGCCATATTATTTTGTGGTGAACAGGCAAGTTTGCATTCAGGGCAATAAAGAAATAGTGCTTTTATAATATAGTTTACTGTCTAATCGTCATAGCTATTCTTTGTTGGAATATTCACGTAACAGTAAATTTTTTGTTGTTCACTTAGGGTCAACTGCTTTGACGTGTTTGATGCTGGGGCACCGTTTGGTGGGTACAAGATGTCCGGCAATGGCCGTGAACTCGGGGAATACAGTCTTGAACTCTACACGGAGGTGAAAACAGTAAGTCACAGTTCTGGTGTTGCATTCAACAGTTAATAACACGTCATGGTCAAGAGAAGACTACGCTATCCTATAAACTAGTCCAAGGTACACTCACTTGATGTTTTGGGTGCAATTAGCAACAAGGGTGGATCAAGCATTTATGAAAGGGAGGGGCCAAAATTTCAAAATTTCAAAATCCTCTCTCAGATAATTGTACTGCCTACAGCATACTCCATTTGGTTTTCAAAAGAGGGGAGTGGGAGTGCAGACCCTGTGGTTACCCCCCTCTGGATCCACATATGAATAGACAGTCTGGTCCCAGTTGCCCAAAAACTTAACACCAACTAACCACCAGTCCAAGGAAAGTTAGTGTTAATTTAGGTATCTCATTATGGAAATAGGGTCTGTGGTGGTAGCTCTCCCTACACTATAGTCATTTAGTCACTGCATGGTGAAGGGGGAGTCATTTGGCCATGAACTATTCAATTAATTGAAGTCAGCAAAGTTAGTTTGATAACAATACCCCTTGTTGCTACTGCATGGTCAAGGGGAGATAATTCTGTGGTGTTACCAGAGCAATGATTGTCATGTTTGACACTGTTTGTTTGTTTGCTTGATGTTTAACACCGCACTCAGCGCTGTTCCAGCTATATGACGGTGGTATGTCAATAATCAAATCTTGACCAGACAATCCAGTGATTTACATGAGCATTGATCTGCTAAATTGGGATACGATGACATGCATCAACCAGTGAGTCAGCGGGCCTGTCCACCGATCCCGTTAGTTGCCTCTTATGACAAGCATAGTCGCGTTTTACGGCAAGCATGGGTTGCTGAAGACCTATTCCACCCCCGATCTTCACTGGTCTGACACTGTTTGAATCAGGATTCTATTTATAACAGTCTGCAACTTTAGCCACTCGTCCAAGGACTAGTAAAATTCAGTTAGGTTTTGTAAGGGTAGCTAATACTAGTTGATATTATGACACTACAATGTACTAAACTGATGCTATATGGGGAAATTGACTTAAAAGAATATGTGAATAGGTATGTTGCGTCAGATGCTTTGTTCTCATTACCCTCATGTGGATGGTGAAGCTCCATGGTCAAAGGGAGATAATTCTGTCGTCATACAAGGCTCCAGCTGATGTGTACAACTAGAACAGCCTCAGACCACCACCGACCCGTGAAGATTCGGGGGTAGAATAGGTCTTCAGCAACCCATGCTTGCCGTAAAAGGTGACTCTGCTTGTCGTAAAAGGCGACTAACGGGATCGGGTGGTCAGGCTCGCTGACTTGGTTGATGCATGTCAATGATCCCAATTGCATGGATCGATGCTCATGGTATTAATCACTGGATTGTCCGGTCCAGACTCGATTATTTACAGACCGCCTTCATATAGCCGGAATATTGCTGAGTGCGGCGTTAAACAACAAAGCAACCAATCAGACCACCAGCTGTAACGAGCCCACATGGAGAGTCTGAGGACGTCCAATAGATGGATATTATCCACAAAAATATATATATTTTTTTATATTTTAAAAAAAATTTGGCAGCTGCTGCCTTCTGCCTGCAGCTTTGCGTTCATTATTGCTGAGTGTGTCCAGTGTCTGTGATTGTATCCTTGTCTGTTTTAGGTCACCATGAAACTGCTGCAGAAGAACTCCTAAAGGTCTGAGATGAAGCCGAGTACCTCAACTGAACCATTAACACAGCACCATTAATTTGTAGAATGGAATATGCAGGACATTGTTACAGAGCATCTCACCTTACACCACAGGGGTTCAAGTTGAAATCATTTCACTATCATTACAATATATTTTGTATTGTCATTTAACTGAATATCAAATGCATGGTATTTCTTTTGTGAAAAATATATTTGTTACTGGGTATTTTTGCCTGATTTAGCGAAGGCCTGTAGTCTTGATGGTCTTCTTGTTAAAACAGTTTCAGATGTACAGTGAATCTTTGATAACAGTTTTGCTCGTATCGTATCTTGCATTTATGTTACTAATCATGTGATGTCTTCAATTTCTTTTTGACACTGGTGAGGATCCAAGGAAGTCCCAGATTTATGATATACATGTATGTTATGTTATGTTATGTTATGCGACACAAGGATAAGACTGTGTTGAGAGAGAGCATTCAGTATTCACATGTCACTGTCCACAGATACCGGACCAGTAACTGATATCATGGTTTGAGAAAATCTAGACATCAAGAAACTTGAAGGGTGAAGTTTTGGGGGGGGGGTCGGTTCAGGTATTTTATGCAGTAATCAGGTACTGGTTTAGTGGTCTACAGTGTAATGTGATAGCCTCAGGTAGTGCTACCTTAATTAATGGTTCTATACTTTTTTTACCATATTGTTAATAAATGAAACATTGCTGCAATGTGTTCACTGTATATGCAATAAAATCTAATACTTATCTTACAATCATATGTTTGTTTGTTCGTTTGTTTGTTGTGGTGGCATGTGGGCAGTGCACAGGTCACAAGTCAGGTGACGTTATGCAACATCGGTCATAGAGAGTCCTTGGATGGGTTACCATGTTCGACAGCCTGACTCCAGAGAGTGTCTAGGGCTTCGGTCCTGCCCCACACTGAAGCACATCTAGCGCATGTGGGGTCTCCTTAGGCAAGTTTTGTTTGTTTGTTGTTTAACGCTGCTCTCAGCACCTGATCCGTTGGTTGCCTCTTATGAAAAGCATAGTCGCATCGTATGCCAAAGTCTCACAAGCATGTGTGTCTGAAGACTTATTCTAATCCGGATCTTTCATGATGTTCTACACTGAATCCGTGATAACAATTGCATTTATGTTTGAATATTCTTTGTTCCAGCACTTGATGATTAAAACATTTCAGATGACCATATTTGTAAGTACTGATCTTGTGATCTATTTGGCACAATACATCTTATGGAGTTACAATTTGAATGACATTTATACATCAATCCAGTCCTAATAAAGGTACATTCAACGGACTATAACCACTTATTCGTATTACCTTAATAACGATTCTCATCTACAACTATTGTACAATGTACATGATGAGACATTTGTTGATTTTCCGAACAGGTATGGGCCCAAAAAGACACCATATACACATATACTTTCCAAAAAAAGTAGGGTGTCAAGAAATATAGATGTTATAATCAGTCATCAAAAGAAACATCAGCTTTGAAATAGAGTAGACCAATGAAGATCCACTGTAGAATAGGTCTTCAGCAACCCATGCTTGCCCTAGAAGATGACTGCTTGTCGTAAGAGGCGACTACCGGGATCGGGGGTCATGGTCGCTGACTTGGTTGATGCATGTCATCGATGCTCATGATGTCAATCACTGGATTGTCTGGTCCAGACCCGATTATTTACAGACCGTTGTCATATACCTGTAATTGTTGCTGAGTGCGGTGTTAAACAACAAAGAACAAAGGAAAGAAATAGAATGTGTCTGGGACGGGAACCTAACGCCCCAAGATACCCGAAACATTGCACATGGACCTTGCAACTCTTACCTGTATGGGTAGTGTCCTTCATTTTGACACTTCAGTGAAAGGTTGTCACTTCGTCAAGAGCCAGTAGTAGTGTTGATTTTCATTGTCCACTGTAACAAGTACGCTCGCTTCTCTTGCTTCAGTGCAGGAATTGGGATCGGACTGTGATGAACACCTAATGGCTGTCGTCAAGCTTCGAAATGGAAGAACTCAGCGATTGGCAGACTCTGGAACGGGCTTCTGCAGACACAAAATGTTAATGATCAGCCCCGCACATGGCGCCCAAGGTCAACAACACAGGTCCGCGGTTCCATTAATCCAAAGACGTGTATAGATTGCATCGTATATATACGTCTTTGATTAATCAGAAATCAGGATTTAAGAAATCGAGCCAAGCAAATCCCTGACATAACACAGATTTGGGGGTGGGTCTGTGAGTGAGTGAGTTATAATTTAACATTGCATCGGCAATACTTCAGCTATAGAGGGGAGGGTCAGTAAGCAAGTAGAAACTGTTAGTAGTTTTAAGTATTTAGGCCTAATATTTTCATCAGATTGTAGTTTCTCTTGGCACAGAAGACCTATCAGAACTGGTAAATAAAGCATTGTATTACCTGCAACGTTCCAATCCCTATAGGGGTCACGGGTGGCCCAGTCGTCTCAGGCGCCGCAATTCGCTGTGCAAAGTTGTGTCCCTTGGGCACGCCAGAAACCTACGATTGTGGGCTGAAGTCCCGGTTCGCCCCGATTATGTTTCTAGGTTTGTCAGCACCATGCCCGTGCTCGTGGGTTTCACCGAAGTGGTAAACGTCTGAGACCTGCATCACTTCGGGCTATCCTCCCACATTAAACTGACACGCCGCGATATGACTGTAATACTGTATAAAGCGGCGTTAAACCCAACTCACCCACTTACTCACTCCGATCCCTATATATCTCCGGTACACCCATATCAACTGTTCAAGACATTACCAATACTAAGTTATGGATGTTTGGGGGTTTATGGAAGCACCAGCTCTGGTGTACCTGAAGGTATGTTAAACAAACATTAAGAGTCCGAAGTTCAACACCGTCAGCTTTTGTTTATGGTAAAGTGGGTGTGCTTCCATTATGGACTACCAAATTGATTCGTATTGTGAAATACTGGATGAAATTCTCAGTTGTAATGGAGAGGGGTATGTCTATTCTAAAGCTTTGGTAGATAATGCTCTTTATAAACCAGAATATAAGACTCGGGCTACTCCGGGAAATATTGTTCCAATATGGTTATGGGTATATGTGGCTGTCACACAAAGTGATAAATAAGATAAGCAATCGACAATAAATGTACGTACACAAATGTGGCGAAACCAGTTGATGTCACTCAGTGAAACTAGACTATATTTGAATATAAAACATTCTCTTACTATCGAAAAATATTTAACATTAATTGATGTCTCCAAATATAGACTAGCCTCAACTCGGTTCGGAGTAGGTTCTCATAATTTATTGATTGAAAAGGATAGGTGGGTAAATTCTAAATTAGCGTTGGAAAATAGTAATTGCCCTCTCTGTATTAATGAGTTGGAAGACGAATACCATGTTGTTATGGTGTATCCACATTACATTACACAAAACTACGGTTATAACGAACTCAAAGAGATCATTCATTTTAGTTCGTTATAACCGTAGTTCGTTATTATATATGCAGCATATATACAGCATGTGGTCGGGACAAAAACAATCCTTCGATTCGTCATAAGCGTGTTCGTTATAAACGTAGTTGTCTGTATGTTACTTTGAGACGACGATATCTATTTGAATACTTATGTAGATTTCCAAGTGTACTGCTATTTATCTATTTGTTTCAAGATGAAGTAACAAAATTATTCATAACTTATCTGAATACTTATTTGATATGGTCAAAGTTAGAGATAATAATAATTTCATATGTCCATGAGCTAACTTTGAAATATAGCTGTTGTCTATTTAATCTCCGATGGTCGTGGGTCTGGTCTTTGGTGGTTTGGGGGGCGGTGACGCAACAATCGGACTTTGCTACAAGCAGCACCACCAAGCCGCAAGTGTGTCTACCGCGAGGTTGACAACCGAATTGTCAGGCTGAGAGCCCAGCTACTACCACAGCCTGAAAACTCCAATCCAGTTTCTGGATGCCCTTGGTAATATGCTGAGGCTTGGTTAGACACTATGGACCATAACATAGTGCGTATAATTATTATGATGGTGGTTAAATATTGATATGAGAAGAACACGTATTAATCATATAGTATATTTAAAATTTATATTCTGTACATTTTGTCGTGTTATGGATGATATAAACATTGTCTAATGAGATGAGATGAGACCTATCAAATATAGAATATTTAACACAATACACTTCTTTGTTATGTATAGGCCTATGGGTAATTCCATTATTCATCTAGGGGCGGTCGGGTAGCCTAGTGGTTAAAGCGTGCGCTCGTCACGCCGAAGAACCGGGTTCGATTCCCGACATGGGTACAATGTGTGAAGCCCATTTCTGCTGTCCCCCGCCGTGATATTGCTGGAATATTGCCAAAAGCGGTGTAAAACCATACTCACTCACTCACCCCATTATTCATCTGAGGTAACAGTATGATGCCTTGCTGTGCACTCAACCAGAAGAGTTGTTGTTTTAAGGTGTCAAACAACTGGCTGGCTGACAGTGGGAGGTTACCGTTAGAATAGGTGTTCAGCAACCCATGCTTGTCGTAAGAGGCCTCTAACCGGATCAGGTGGTCAGGCTCGCTGACTTGGTTGATGCATGTCATTGTATCCCATTTGCGTGGATCGATGCTCATGATATCATTCTATGGATTGTCTGTGTCAGACTCGATTGTTTTTAAACCGCCGTCATATATAGCTGAAATATTGCTGATTGCGGCGTAAAACAACTAACAAACAAATAAAAGATGTGCCGTTTGCGCGCCGTGCTGGTCCTCGTTCTGTCTCTCTATGCGATAAAGCTCCTTTGTATTATATTTTATTTAGAAAATTTAACAACTGCTTTTTTTCAGAGACTAGATGTAAGTCATGGTTGAAGGTTGAATGTGTTCACAGCTGACTGTATGTCGTATCATGTACAACATGGTTGTATCTTCACACACGGAATTTACTTCACTGAGAAAATAATAATTACTTATCTAAAAAACTTTAATATCTTCACCATTAAACGAGTCTTGATATTGTTGTCAAAACGCTTTTCCCGTTTACAGTCATTTTCAATGTTACCAGTACTGAATTCATCATGAGTGTTTTCAGTAATACAGATATCCTGGCTAATATTTACAATATCATTAATATCAATATTATGTCCATACAAACATTTAAACTAAGTAAAATGTGTACATCAGAAATATGGTATCAAATTCAACCAATTCGAAATGGGATATACACACCTCGTCAAAAGTATTAAACTTACACTTGAAGTGTAATTGCGAGTTCATTTTCAATGTAGAGATTTTCAAATGGTAAAAGACACATCTTCTGTCTGTGGAATGTAGCCAGCTTACCTGCTGCCCAAGATGTTTGATGACAGAATGTTCATGCGTCTTTACTATTAAATTTGAATGAAATTCTACCAAGTTGAAAGTCTGTCTTTGGAACGAGTGTAACTGAAATGCCTAAGTGTACTATCCCAGAACATCAAAGATGGCAAGTCACTGCATAGCAGGCACCAATCTCGCATGTCATGTCGGGCTATTGCCACCGTGTCGAACATTCAAGACTTCAAGACTCTTTTATTCTGTAATAAAGGCCTCCAGCCCAGAGTACATGTGTATATAATCAAGTCACAACAATTTTAAGTTACAAACAACAATTACAATCATTTAGAAGAGATCTACTATAATCATCAAGTGTCGAACATTAATCACACTGTAATCAGTCACTCATTAGAGAACACGTTTACTGGACATGTGTGGGACTTGCCGAGATCAGGACGTCCATGGAAGACCAGCGCCAGAGACGGCTGCCAACTTCAACGTGCACTGTTCTTCGTCATCACTGGCCTACCCACATTACAGTGTCCCTTAGCACCATCATGCGTCGACTGAATTCACAAGCATTAGGGCCAGAAGACCAACAAGACGCCCACTCCTCTCACCCCACCACACGGGGGACCATTTAGCCTATGTCAGTCTCAAGCACTCTGGAACTTGAGGTCATGCAAGGGGATTCATTGGTCTGTGAGAGTCGGTTTGTGTAGCACCTCACTGCTGGTAGACAATGTGGCAAAGAGGAACATCTCAGAACAACGTCCAGGAAACACTGGCATGTGGTGGCGGCTCAGTGATGGTATGGGGGTGTTGCGCCTTTGATTGTAAACTTGATTTGGTTACAGTTCAGGGGACAATGAATGGACAAAGGTACCAAGATACCATATTAGACGGTTTTGTTGTGCTTCATTTTGATAAACCTTCACTTGGCACACGACCTGTCTTTATAGATGACACTGCCGAATTGTGACTAACCATGTTCAGAACAACGCCATTGAGACTGTGCATTGGCCTTCTCGAAGCCTGGACCTGAATCCAATCGAGCATCTGTGGGATCAGTTGGGACGCAGCATCACGTTGTAGACGACGCAGTCCCAATCTGATCACAGAAACTGCATTAAAGCAAGAGTAGGGAGCTTACGTGTTACTGTGGATAATGAATACTAATTGCTCATTGCAATTTGACCTTTCACCGTATCCTTGAAGACCCGGGTTAGAATAGGTCTTCAGCAACCCTTGCTTGCCGTAAAGGCGACTATGCTTGTCCTAAGAGGCGACTAACGGGATCGGGTGGTCAGACTCGCTGACTTGGTTGATGCATGACATCGTATCCCAATTGCGTAGACCGATGCTCATGATGTCAATCACTGGATTGTCTGGTCCAGACTCGATTATTTACAGACCGCCGTCATAGATTTGGAACATTTCTGAATGCGGCGTTAAACAACAAACAAACAAGCACTTTCACGAACGTGTCAAAATCAAGAATGGCCCCCCGTACCCACGTGCACGGCAGACTGCATGGCCCACGTGCAATGTAACGGGTGAGATGGGGCGTTAGGTTTTGGTTCCGAAACCGTTCTTTCTCTAGCAGTCATTTTTCAAAGCTGATCTTTCTTCTGACGACCGATATCGCGCGATCATATGGCAAGCCGTTTTCACATTTATTACGGAATTACAGATATCTTCAATTGTTTTAAAGATATCTGTATTTTATTTAAAGATATCTAAGAAATTAGTTTGTGATATCTCTAAATGTATTTAAGATATCATTAAACAATTACCATCCTACAGTACATAAATATATTAGAAATAAATTCAAGATATCTTAAATTCAATTCAAGATATCTTGAAATAAGTTATACATATCCACAAATGCATTGCAGATATCGTAATTCAATTAGAGATATCTTTAATTCAATTAGAGATATCTTTAATTCAATTCAAGATTTCATTAATTCTGCCCGTTACGGATATCAAACATCCAATTAAAGACATCATTAATACTTTTGATGATATCTTTATATCAATTATTGATATCAGTTATCTAATTTAAGTGACATTATTAATGTTACATCTTTAATAATGGCAACAATTGAAGATATCAATAATTAATTTATGATATCCGTATTTAGTTTCAAGATATCAGGAATTGAATTAATGACATCATAGCAAAACATGACATTTTGATATCTTTAACTCATATTTTGATATCAATAATCGAATTTAAGATATCAGCAATTCTTTTCAAGATATCTTCAATTCCATTCAAGATATTTTCAATTCATTTCAAGATATCTTTAAAACAATTGAAGATATCTTATATTTTATTGCAGATATCTACAATTATCTGCATTTAAGATATCTTCAATTCCATTCAAGATATCTTCAATTCCATTCAAGATATCTTCAATTCATTTCAAGATATCTTTAAAACAATTGAAGGTATCTGTAATTCTGTAATAAATGTGAAAACGGCTTGCCATACGATCATAAAATTTATATTTCATCATCCCCTATTTTTTTGGGAGAGTATCATGTGCGTAACCCGTGTATATTGTTGTTAGCACACGACGAGTGCAAAAGTGTATGAACGTATTACACAATGTTTGGCGAATGTTGAACATTTCAAACTCAGGCAACTCTTTCTCAACGTTATATGGTGTAACTCTTTTAAAGCTTTGTTGCTATATGTGTCACATCATTTTATGACCGCCGCGATTCGCTGTGCAGAGTTGCGTCCCTTGGGCACGCCAGACCTATGCTTGTGGGTTCGAATCCCGGTTCGCCCAGATTATGTTTCTTGGTTTGTCAGCACCATACCCGTGTTCGTGGGTTTCACCGAAGTTGTAAACGTCTGAGACCTGCATCACGTCGGGCTTTCCTCACACATAAATCTGACACGTCGCGATTTAACGGGAATACTGTTAAAAGTGGCGTTAAACCCAATTCACTCACTCATTTTATGACAGGCTTATGTCGGATTTATAAAGTGCTCGCCCACTGAGAAACCATGCCGCAGTTTATCATGCATACCCCACTCAGACACATGCATGTAGTACTAACTCCGAGCCGACCAGTCCTATTGATGCCGAGCGCCAGGCAGGGTAACAACAAGCTCCATCTTTTAACGTCTTTGGTATGGCGCGGCCGGGGATCGAACCACCGACCTTCCACTCTCCGGGTAGACGCTCTATCCACTAGACCAAGGGGCGCGGCCAATCCATGATAATATGTTGATTTGTTTGTTGAAGTAAAATTAATAATGGTGTACATATCGTGTTGGTGATTTTAGGGGTAGGCTTTTGGGTACACCCCCCACCCCCCTCCCACATATTGAAGTTACAATTGCCACAAGTGCACACCGACCCCCCTCCTTACTTTTTTTAAAATCCTTGATCCGTGCCTGACACACATTCAATATTAGCTGAATTAGATATGAAGAGTCAACCATGCTCACAAATTATCATAGACGTGTTATTACCGGTATTACAGATCATATACACGTATTATATATCCTGCCATGACATCGATCAGTAATATGAACAGGAAACAACGTGAACGAAACAGTGTCCCTGGTTCAACAATAAACATAGCCCATATTATCAAAGTCGGCGTCATATTTCGGTTGTTTCGAAATGCTACACAAACCCCTCGAGACATTTCTTACTTTCACTCACAGACGGAATGCTTCGACTCACATCACGTGACCACACATGTGCTAATATGGCGGCGAGGAATATGATGGGGAAGATGGTCGCCAAAGTGCCACACACATTAGACTCAGGCTCTGATTAGTGTTGATGGGTAGACATAATGAGTTCCATAGCTTCCGAACGCGCAGATCACCGACGTCCAGACGATGCCATGCCACCAAGCAGACGAGGCTTGCGACAGCGCATACGTGAGTACACACCATACACACAGCTGATCACTATTTTGTTTTCATTCGACACGACACAACAATGACGTGTTTTGCTGCCGTGGCGATTAATGTGCATGATCGCTGCATTCACATCTGTTAACTCAACAGTAGTGATGAGATAAACAAAACTACATGAAGCTTAACTGGGTCGTCAAGAGATGCCATAGAGCTGTCAAATCATAAACTAGGTTTCGTACGCTTTATCAACCGACCGATGTAAACAATGAAAGCGTTGAAGGAAGTGTCACCTGTTTTCGTGGTACATTAACTGTCGTGTCTGTTGTGCATGGTCCCTTGATAGAAATAATATATTTAGGAAGGTGCTGGGTAAATGATCTTTGTGTTTGTGGGCCTAGACAGTTATGATAATATATTACCGGATTGGTTTATTAGTCATATTATGTATTCATTTCATCAGAGAAAATATGTCTCTTGTTGACTCTCTCGTGTGAACCAGATATTAAAATAAATATTATCTAAAATGTTCAACCATTCAGTTTTGATACTGAGACTTTTTTTAACTTGTAGAATATTCGGTACAATTAACATTCATAAAAAAAATATAATAAGGTAAGGCATGCAGGTTAATGTGATATAATTATGACCATAGATATGTATAACATTAAAATACAATGTAAGATCATTTGAAAAATTCACCCTACTCCATTAAGACCACATTCTTAAATACCTGATTATTTTACAGAATCGACTGATAAAGGAAGAAAACTAGTGTCAGACATTTTCAAGAAAACATCAATAGTTGCCATTGGCAACATAATGTAGTTGATCTTATTAATTTATTTGCTTCCTTATCAACACTGGGAATAGGTGGTGGATGGTGCCCTGCTTGTTACCTTTTAAACTGCAGAGAATAGGGTGTGTGTCCTATCCAGTTGGAAAATGTATCATGTGTTAAGTCAATTCACTGAGATAAGAATCCATTCCTTGATTGGGTGGCGGATGTATAGGTAATATAAAAATGTGTGTTCGATAATGGAATCCCTATGCTTATAATTTGTTCATCGCCTTCTCTGGAGCGAGAGATCAGCAAGATTACATGAGGTCATTGACACGTTTGGAGTCTTTTTGTTATCAGAATATTTACTGTCTATAGTTCTTCATGCATGTTTTCATACCTGCTCAATAACCCGGTTTACTTAGCACATCTTTGGAGCTTGGACATTTTAAGACTTGATCCTGCACCACATGACAAGTAATTCTTGTGTAGCCATTGTTGCATTTACTGGATGTGAAATAGTTCTAACAAACAAACAGTCTTAGTTCAAAATTCATAGATAGGCTTTTGTATTTTGTTCAATGTTTACAGCTGTACAAGAGTTACGAATAAACGATGCACAATACCTAGCCCTAGCGTAAACAGAGGGGCTAATCTTTATAATAAACCGGGGCGGTCGGGTAGTCTGGTGGTTAAAGCGTTCGCTCGTCACGCTGAAAACCCGGGTTCGATTCCCGACATGGGTACAATGTGTGAAGCCCATTTCTGGTGTCCCCCGCCGTGATATTGCTGGAATATTTCTAAAAGCGGCTTAAAATCAAACTCACTCAATTATAATAAACCAATTATACCCCTTATGCATGTGTCATGTCCCAGTGAAGGCTGTGCAGTTGGAATTAGTGTCAGTGTGTGAAATTGGGACTCTACGTTTGTGCATTTCAGGTAATCCTTGCTTGATCGGTCAGTACACTCCAATTATGACTATTCCCATTATGACTACTAACAAAAAAGGGGGTAAAATAATCCTACCTATAGAATAATGGACTACTCGAGTCATCATCTGGGACAACTCCAATCCTCGTCTTTATACTCTGCCCATAAAATAATAATACACCATTTATATTGCGCATATGTCAACACCACTCGGGCTTGTTCAGAGTGGTATTATTACCCCAGTCACTGGATCAATGTGCACTCAAGAATCATTCTCAGCTCCCTGGGGAGTATACAACCCATATATACACAAACAATGTCTGATGAGAGATGTTGTTATTTTCGATGTATCATTTGTTCTTGTGTTCTACATTCTCACAACAATCACAGAGCTTACCTTCCAGAGAAACCTGTTCAGGTATTCACAATGGCAATAGAAATGTTAGTTGAAAATGAATAAAATGCTATGTTTGCATTATTAAAGAAAGCACGAAATATTAACTTGCCAATTGATTGATGTTATCAGCATCTGACACAATGACTGCCCTGATATTAACCTATGGTTCGGCAATTTGGGATTTGAAAATACAAATCTAATTGAAAGAGGACATTTAAAATTTATAAAAATTGCATCTGTTCCTTGTTCACAACACCAACTTTTATGATCTACGGTAAATTTGGAAGAATCACTGTATATTGAAATGTGAAAATGCATTATAATATTTCAGCATAAAATCACACAAATAAGAAAATCCCCAAATAAAGAAACATTTTATACCAGTTGATTTTAATCGACCTCATATTGCTGATAACCCCCCATGGGTTTGTTTTGTGAAAGGAATAATAACTCATTGTGGACTTGTTTCAGTCTTTTGATCACCCATTTTGATTGTTGTACACTATGGCTGGCTTCAAAGGTAGAAGATGTATTAATGATCAATATCTGCAAAACTGGCACAGCTCTGTTATGGAAAGTTCAAAGGGTTTGTATGACAAAGAATTTATATTATATTTGGAAAAGTGTGAGATTTAGAAATCTCTTCTCATCCACAGATGTATTTTACCCCAAAGACGTACAGAAATTTATGACTAATAAACAACTTGTCCAACATGTCCTCTTGACACAGTAGACACAATTTATGGATAACAATTTCTTTATTTACTGTAAAGCATCGACAACGGTATTAGGATCAATACCAAAACATTGCCTTTTCAGTACATAAAGAAGTTGTTATCCAATCTAATGGGCGCCCACTCTCCCTACAATGTCATCAAAACGGTTACAGGCCGGCAAAGCCACATTTCGAAAATAGATAACCCAAATTGATGTGGCTCTCGCGGCAATGGTTATGGTTGCGTGATTGTATAATGTGGCTCTCACGGCTATGCTGTCAAAACATGCTTTGTGATTCTAACAGGTTACCGTATATAACAAAACAAGTCTTGTTTTCTCATTTTTTATTCAACAAGGATAACATATTCATCAAAACTTTACATTGATGAATATGAATAGCATATGAATATCATAATGGATTTAATGTCATTACTGCAGATGAAGGAGGTCGCCCACGTGGTCAGCATATTCCATCTCACTCAGGTGTTGGTTCAGGAGCTGGATCTTGAGGGACGCAATACGTGCATCGATTGCCTTGTACTTCTTTCTTCGTGAAGGTTCTGACCACTGGTGAGAGAGTCTCAGGACTGCAACCTCTTTGAGTGACTGCTCTCGCTGAAATAGCTTCACTACCTCGTAGATGTTCGGGTGGCACTTCTTGGCAAGTTTCTTTATCTTGTTGTGCCACCCTTCCAGGTGATTGTTGGTACGGTGGCCTTGGTTTTCGAAATGGTTCCAAATCTCTGGCATGAAGGCCTGTCCTTGAACCCAACTGGTTGTCACGTAGTCCATGAAGGCAGTCACTTTGGGACCAGCAGGAGAGTCAGCAATGGCATCAAGCCACACATCATCCACTTTGTCACGAGGTAGTAGAGGGAGGGCAGCAGCTCTTCTCACCAGCTTCTTCACCTCCTCATCTTCCTTATAGTCCATCACCAGACCTTCTTTCTGCACCCTCCTCCAGATACATTGGGTGAAGTGAAAGAAACACCCTCTAACTAATGTCCCAGGAAATACATCAGTCACGGCATTGTGAGCTGCACGTTCAAAGTCCAACTGAATTGTAAGTGGGGCAAACTCTAGACCTCCTCTACTAGCAAAATCGCATAGGTACTGAAACATGTTGACATAACACTCTTTTTTTCGATTGGACAACAAACAGTAAACTAATGGAAACATATGGCCAAACACCTCAGCATGTAAACAATAAATCTGATCAAACAACTTGGGACAGGCATAAAATGTACCATCACAAAATACAATGTCTGCAGTACACAAATGTTCAATGTTCTTGTCTGTAGTGAAGATGAGGATGTCGTCACTAACACGGTGTAGGAACTGGTCGCCTCCCTCAGTATGGGAGTACTTCTCCTCCAGCTGGATCTGGGGTCTGCTGTCCGGAAGGCGGGGCAAGGTCTTGTGTCTCTGGCGGCAGAGGATAGTGGTGAGAGACTTCAGGGCTGGTATCTGCTTCAGGAGGTCATCTGAGACGATGTCGTGATGTTGGCGTAGTCTGGATATCTCCTCTCCGTAGATAGTGGGTATAGGGGTCGTTTCTGTCCTCGCTCTCTCCATCAGTCTAGCCTTACAGGCATCAACCTCAAACTCGAATGGTAGTGGGTCGTGGGAGTGACCCATGATATCAATGGCGTGGAGCAACTCACCCAGAGTTGTGATCCTTGCAGTGCACTCCTTGACAATACAGGACCAGTATCTTCTTTCACCACGACTGCTCTTAGACCGAAACTTAAAGCCATCATAGTACAAATGTACGCCTCCTCTGACACTTTCAATGAACTTTATTTGAACTTGTGCGTTTGCCATGGTTCTGATATGGAGTGACACGACATCACTTAAATATGTTATGAATAACAGGATGAACTCAATGTCAATTAAGACGGCCTTTGATCTCTAAAGAACACCACGCTTAGTAATTTAAATGTGGGACACTCATTTAAAGGTATCTCTAAAGAACACCACGCTTAGTTATATAATGTGGGACACTCATTTAAAGGTATCTCTAAAGAACACCACGCTTAGTAATTTAAATGTGGGACACTCCTATAAAGAGAGAGAGAGAGAGAGAGAGAGAGAGAGAGAGAGAGAGAGCAAATATAACATATCATAATATAGTCAACAAGCAATATTCCTAATATCAATATTTAACCAACATTTCAGCAAACAATATCTGAGAAA